CTTCAAACAATTTGCTACCGATTGGTGATAAATTTTTTTGGAAATAATGAAATAGGGGGGATAACGCCTTTCTTTCAGGGGTGATTTTTCAAAAATTTATTTTAAAAAAAGTACTAACTTGCAAATGTTTTTTATTAGCTCGCAATTTTTTTCAAAACTACTTCAATGAGGAACAAAATAAAAATTTGGAATATCTCTACATGAGGGGCTAATTGATCGGATCTGACCAAGCGAGTCCACTCTCTGTGAATGAATTTTGGCAACGGCGCGTTCAATTTTACATTACCGCGCGACGCCGCGATGCGAGTAACCGCGTAGGGCAGTTTCACGCGAGTAACGAAGGGTTCATAAATGATTTTTTATTTGGAATTTGATGTTTCTTATTGAGAGTCTCTTCATAGTGACATTCAAATTCAAATAAGAAACATGGAACATCTTGAGCGTCAATTAAATAGAAATGAATAAGTAACATTATAAATGATTTTGGCCCTGAAGCCTGCATTCAGCGCTCGAAATATTGGCAATTAAATCAAAACAGATAATTTTGAAAATATCAGTTATTGCTTTTTACGATCACAAAATTGGCCCTTGGAAGGTGTTTTTAATTGGAATTATAAAAAGCGATTTCTTATTTGTTTCAAACAGATATTGTTGCTTTTATCAACAATATATGAGAATAAAACAATTCACTAAATTATGAGATTGCAATACATGAAGTCTTTAGAAAATTTTCGGGAAATTCATAGGAACTAACTTTTGGATTGTATTACCTTGGGATATACCTTAATCTCAAAATTAAACCGTTCCATTCCCTTCTATTTCTCTTATCCCAGACTTGCGGACTTAAAATTGCATCAACATGTCACGACGTCAACCGGAGGATTTTCTCAAGCACGACGCGTCCAGAGACACATGGCAGGTCATATTCTCAAACAAAAGGGGCCTATCAAAGGACGAAGTCCAGGCCGTCTTCTCGAGATTCGGAGAAATCGACATAATCATCCAGACGGGGACATCCTGCGGCTTCTGTATCGTCAAATATAAGACGAAAGAAGCTGCCATGAAGTGCATCACTACGGAGGTGGCAGCCCGAGATTGCATAACACTGTCAGTCTTCATTAAAGATTATGAGAAGAAGAGTTCAAAAGAGAGTCTGGAGACAAGTGGAGACAACGGACAGGATTATTCTCCCTCCAAGAAACTTGATAGGAATTTTTCGAGGGAATCTAATGCCTCTGCAATCAAAGATATGAATGGAAATGGTCGAGACATTGAAACCTTCAACTGGAGTTGCGGAATGCAGAACGAGAGATGTGATGGCAAGTCGAAGAATCATCAAACGTTCACATCAGATGCAAAAGCGAATTCTAGTCTTACGCAGACGAAGAGTGATTCCAAATTGATGCAGAATAAATGTGAAAACTTCCAGGATGACTCCATCACGTCAAAAGCTCATCCATCAATTGCACCAGAACAAAAAGATAATTCTAATTCGATACAGACGAAGAATGATTCCAAATTGTTGAAGAGTAACTGTCATAGGTTGAAGGACGACGTCAACAAACCAAAAGATCATCAACCAAGTGCGCCAGATGTAAAAGGGAATTTTAATTTGATTCAGACGAGGAATAACTCCAATCTGACGAGGAGTGAGTGTCGTGAATTGAAGGATGACATCAACAAACCGAAAGATCATCAACCAACTGCACCAGATGTAAAAGAGTATTTTAATTCGATTCAGACGAGGAATAACTCCAATTTGACGAGGAGTGAGTGTCGTGAATTGAAGGATGACATCAACAAACTGAAAGATCATCAATCAACGGCAGCAGATACTAAAAACTTCTCCATTTCCATTGAGACGAAGAATAATTCCAAATCGTTGAAGAGCGGACATCAAAACGAAACGACTGCTGTCAAATCAGGAAATAAAATAGCAGCTGATTTTAACTCAGGAAACGTCAGGATTAATCCCCTGAAATGCAAAATTCCTCCCAGAATGCCAGATATCAAAGAGGAAAAAGGAAAGGATCGATCAAGAATTTCGTCAGAATTGAATGAATCGAATGGTCATGAAGTGGCTCAAGTTTCTGAAGGGAATGATTCGAAGTCAGCAAATGATAAAGACTCGAGCCAGGCAGCTGGGCTGCCTGCGCTCGTCGGAAGGAAAACAATGATCTTCAGAAATTCTCTCCCAGCGACGACTTCCAGACCAATTTGCAATGCACCCTGCTGTCGACCACACGTCGGCCGCTCCCAGGCCCACGAGGTCATCGTCGCCAACATCGATCAGGCGTGCGATGTGGGCTTCATCATGAATCTGTTCAAGGATTACGAGCCTGTTTTGGTGACGAGTATGAGGGAACATGAGAAGGCTCTTCGGTATTGTCACGTGTACTTCCAGAGTTCTGAGCACGCAGAAGCTGTTGAGAGGATCTTCGATCGCATGAGGATTTATGGGAGGGAGCTCATTGTACTCCGGCCGGAGAGTGTAGCTGCATATATTTAAATCCTTAATGATGCTTATGGAAAACCTGTGTTGTAATATAAGAAGATTTTCCAGATTTTGGAGAATGTTTACCGATAGGTAGATATCTTGAGAATCAGTTACATGATACATAAAATGTAATGGGCTTTTTTGAAGAATAACCGATTATTTTGCGTCAAAAATCAACTTTTCTCCATCATAAAATTTATTTTTTTCTTTTTTATTATTCATTCGGATTCAATATTACAGTAACGGAATGAAACCAATTAATCTTTTACGATATTGATACAGACCATTTTGACATTTTTGTGTAGCTGTAAGAAGAATATTTTCAAATAAATAAATCTTTGAAATGAAAAAGTTAAATTTCATAAAAATTCTCTCGGATGTTCGACGTTGGGGGGAATAAAAAAAAATTTATGAATTAATGTTGTGAATAAAGAATGAAATGAACGGAAATTATTTAAAACTTCATCGATTGATGTTCTATGATACGTGAGAAATGTATAAGAACGAATGTTACTCCATTATTTCCAATATTTACATTCAAGTACATTGAGATGAATGAGTTGGGGGAATCCCAGGAAATCATGTCAGACATGTTTACCTCGTGCATCGGAGGGGGAATGTGCGGAACGCGGACAGCAGTGGAACATGTGATTTACATCTATGCCAGCGGTTAATATCGCTGGCAGCTGTGCCATGAGCCACAGGTAAGTGATCGATGTACGATACAAAAAAAAGTGCAATGTTGTTGCATTGGTTCACGTTTAATTTAATCGAAATCTGTTGATTTTTTTCATCAAATATTTTTCCTCAAAAATTTATATTGGAAAAAAATCGCGGATGAGCTGCGGAATTTTTTCAATAGAATCGATCAAAAACAAATGGAAATTTCAACAGAAATCCAATAGAATTCTTATAGACTTCAAATCAAAATTGTAATGTACAACAATATATTACATTTTATTCTAGTTTATATACAGAGATTATTTCCCAGTAGGACAGTGATAAAATCACATGAATCGATTCGATTTGGAAACGAGTTCTCATTCACCACGCAGAGAATAATTTCGCTTTCAACATCTGCAGAGCTAGCATATTCTCCTTTTTATGAAGACTAGATGAGTAAATATTGAAATGGAGTTTCTGCAGCTTTGTGAGATACGTCTCAACATTGACAGCTGGCAGAAAAATACTTGATAAGTTTTTCTTCGTATTTTTCCTCAGGTTCTTGGCCTAGAAAATGAATAGAATCATGCAGATGAGTTATAATCATTTAATTAACCTGAGGGGAGACCACACTCAAATTACAAAATCACAGGGGTCTTTATTTATCGTGCTGATAAGTTTACTACTTCAGTTTTAACGGGGATTTTTGAAAATCTCCATTTCTTGGGTTTTTCATTTTTTTCTTGAAATTTCTATGCATAGTAATTCATTGAATCTCATTATACTTTGAATGAGCGATTCGAAAAATCTGGAAAATCCCTACTTCAATGATTTATGATGCAGTTGAATACTACACGTATGAAAAAATTTAATAAAAAAACCTAGTGAATTCGCGAGACAATTCTATTGCATTTTTTTCAGCTTTATATTAGTTTTAGACTGATTCTATTGACATATTCAATAGAAAATCGTATACAGAAAAACTTATTCTTTTGAATTATTTGAGAATTTTCTGAGTTCAAATTTTAAATTGTTTTCTTTGATTTTCTTGATGAAAAAAAAAGAAAAATAGAGTGAAAAAAACATTAAAACTTTCAGCGGGGGAAATTGTACAGAAAAATCGGCCGAAAAATAATAAAAATGCAATACAAATGCACTAGAATTGTCTAACGAATTACCTAGGTTTTTCGATTAAATTTTTTTGTGCGTGAAATTTTTCAAATTTGTCACCTCAGTCAAGTTTAATAAAAAGCTTCCAAAAACTCAAAAAATAGAATTAAAAAAACTCATTCAGTTACGTTTGTGTCCACATTATGTATTCGTGGACCAAAATTAATCTAAAATCTTCAGCACGATATCTCAAGTCACCAGCGATCACAATTTCAGTGAGAAAAAAATTTTCGACAGCTACTTTTTCCAGATGTTGATGAGCTCGTGACGCAACATCAAAAACGACATCACTGAGTTCTTTACTCATTTCTCCCCTGAATACAGACTCGGTGGGGACTCCATGCTTCATCAAGAGATCCTGAGGGATGACGCAGACCCTCCTCTGGGCATGATGTGGGGCAGATCGCAGTAAAGTGGTGATTCCCTGGGACTTTCCCATGTGACTAGCTATGTGATCGATGTTGATGTCTTTGATTCCTCTCGCCTCGAGGAGAAGGTAATAAATCGGAGAGACAGTGTCCTCTGAATATTTTTCCAGTGACTCGAGGTCTGGAAAGTCTGCAGACTGCCACTTCTTCCATCTTGCGTCTAGCAGGCGTTGGAAGTAATGTTTGGATAGTTTGAATGTCTTCAAGATCTGCAAAATGTCATCGTTGAATCATTCAAAAAAAAATGAAACGAAATAAAACTGAAGAAGTCAATTTGTTGCAAAAATTCATTAAAAAACGCGCAATTTTTAAATCGTTCAAAAACTAAAAGAACTTTTAAAGGACAATTTCAGTAGTTTTTATTGGAAATTTTATTATAAAAAAATCTTATAGTATCTTATAGTCTAAGACGAATAGGCAGTCAATAAAAACATCGACATTGCAGTATTTTTTATCGATTATATGAACGAAGAAAATTATTACTCTGTGTAATTCTAAGGGTACAGGTGCCTGGGGTGGATTATCACTGTAGATCTTCTTCAAAGTATCACTCCAAAAGTTGTATCTCATGCCACTGATTGCTGTCTCCGATGTTTGATCCTGAATTAATGCGATTTCAACATTGAAAGCTCTTATTGCGAATGCAGGCGCTCTCAAGTCATTTGGGAGCAAGAGAGTGCACAAGTAACTTTCGAAATCATTCCTCCTGCGATGATAAGTATTAAGTAATATTAATTGGTAATTCGGTGAACAATACGCGTGAGGAAAATTTAATGAAAAAAAACCCAGCGCTTCGAATAAATTCTAGAATTTCTAATGGAACTCTGTAAGAATCTTCATGAAGTTTTATCAGAATTTTATTAAAAATTCTACTCATTGTTTGCGCCATTTCTATAAAGAGATATTTGTCAATAAATTTTCATTTTTCTGTAACCATTTTTGGTATTTGAGAATATTCAAGTATCTTTTATAGTTTGATATAAACTACACTATAGATTCAACCATTTTCAATCATCAAATTTGGCAATCAAATTTGCAAACTTTAATTAACAATTTGCCAATTTGTCAATTAAATTTTAAAAAAATCATGAATATTCAACGTGATTCAAATTAAATTTTGCATAGAATTATTATATTTTAAACCTTCATTGGTTATAAATAAATAATTGAAATTGTTTAAACTTTCGGAAACTTTATTTTTTGTCATAAAATCGATTTCTGGTTAAATTCGGAACATGAATAAATTTCTTATGAATTCGAAGAAATAATTTTTATGGTGGATAATTTATTATTTATAAATATTCATAGAAAATTCTTGTAATTCTCAAAGACTGCAATTTTTTAATTATTTCATCAAATTAAAAAAATGTTTTCTAACGCTTCAATATCGAGATTCAAATTCAGACCTGCAAAATTTCAACAATAAAATCACTGTAAAATATCAAAAAAAGTTAGGGTCGAATGGGGCTCAACTGAAAGCTCTGACATTCGACTACAAAACTAGAAAAGCATCTCACTATTGAAAAAATAACCAAAACACTTGGATATCTTTAATCCTACCAAACCACAGTCACCAATAAACCTTCTAAAAACAAAAATCTTCATTCAAAAAACTGAAAAAACTGAGCAGTCTCCACAACAAATCAAATAAAAACAGTTGATAAAACTTAACATAACTCGAATGGGGCTCAACTGAAAACTCTGACATTCGACTACAAAACTAGAAAAGCATCTCACTATTGAAAAAATAACCAAAACACTTGGATATCTTTAATCCCACCAAACCACAGTCACCAATAAACCTTCTAAAAACAAAAATCTTCATTCAAAAAACTGAAAAAACTGAGCAGTCTCCACAACAAATCAAATAAAAACAGTTGATAAAACTTAACATAACTCGAATGGGGCTCAACTGAAAACTCTGACATTCGACTACAAAACTAGAAAAGCATCTCACTATTGAAAAAATAACCAAAACACTTGGATATCTTTAATCCTACCAAACCACAGTCACCAATAAACCTTCTAAAAACAAAAATCTTCATTCAAAAAACTGAAAAAACTGAGCAGTCTCCACAACAAATCAAATAAAAACAGTTGATAAAACTTAACATAACTCGAATGGGGCTCAACTGAAAACTCTGACATTCGACTACAAAACTAGAAAAGCATCTCACTATTGAAAAAATAACCAAAACACTTGGATATCTTTAATCCTACCAAACCACAGTCACCAATAAACCTTCTAAAAACAAAAATCTTCATTCAAAAAACTGAAAAAACTGAGCAGTCTCCACAACAAATCAAATAAAAACAGTTGATAAAACTTAACATAACTCGAATGGGGCTCAACTGAAAGCTCTGACATTCGACTACAAAACTAGAAAAGCATCTCACTATTGAAAAAATAACCAAAACACTTGGATATCTTTAATCTTACCAAACCACAGTCACCAATAAACCTTCTAGAAACAAAAATCTTCATTCAAAAAACTGAAAAAATAGAGCAGTCTCCACAAAAAATCAAATAAAAACAGTTGATAAAACTTAACAGAACTCGAATGGGGCTCAACTGAAAGCTCTGACATTCGACTACAAAACTAGAAAAGCATCTCACTATTGAAAAAATAACCAAAACACTTGGATATCTTTAATCCCACCAAACCACAGTCACCAATAAACCTTCTAAAAACAAAAATCTTCATTCAAAAAACTGAAAAAACTGAGCAGTCTCCACAACAAATCAAATAAAAACAGTTGATAAAACTTAACATAACTCGAATGGGGCTCAACTGAAAACTCTGACATTCGACTACAAAACTAGAAAAGCATCTCACTATTGAAAAAATAACCAAAACACTTGGATATCTTTAATCCCACCAAACCACAGGCACCAATAAACCTTCTAAAAACAAAAATCTTCATTCAAAAAACTGAAAAAACTGAGCAGTCTCCACAAAAAATCAAATAAAAACAGTTGATAAAACTTAACAGAACTACCTAACCAAATCCAAGCAATAGTGCGAGGGGTTGTGTCGTTGAACTCCACTGAACCACCTCCTGAACTCCTGCCCAAAAGCCCCCCTAACCAGACATTCCGACTTATTCATAATAAACCACTCGTCAAAATCTTAGTCTCCTCATGCACTCCGAAATCCGAAAACCTCACACAAGGCGCCATCTTTCGTTCTCCCCACCCCGCCCTCGCCAACACGCCGAGTTGCTCCGAAAGATTGTCAAAACTCCATCTTCACTCGCATACTACTCGTCATAGTTTCCTATAACCAAGAATTAATTACAATTCAATTAACCATGAGACATTAGTGGCACTTAATTCCACTCGGCCAAGCATTGAAGACAGTGATTTCCGGAGAAATCCTTCTGGCGCTTGAAAAACCCCTTCCAACAGTGTGAAAACCCCGAGTTTTTTTAGGGAAAAAAGGAGGAAGGGAAGAAATTGTGCATCTGCATTTGAGGAGGACGGACTCTCGGTACAGAACAGTGTAGTGTGACAAGTGTGCCGATGTGGGCGTCATGCACGATTCTCTCAATAGCGATAATGAATGGTGATGTTGTACATTAATATGGCGATGCACATGATTTTCGGAGGCATCAGATTCACGTGAAGAATTCGCCGCGAGAGAATCTTCGGTTGAGTGAGTGATAAAGGAGAGAGAACTGTTACGCCCTGAGAGGAGCCCATTATCTGCCCTCCAGCAGTTTTTTGGATTTTTTTTTGTCATCGGAATTCGTGGAATCGGTGGTGACTGATAGTGGAGCACTCGGGGAAGATGGCTAGGGAATATGATCATCTGTTCAAACTACTCATCATTGGGGACAGTGGTAATTATTGTTTTTGGTTAATTGTTGTTGTCTCGGTGGTGTTGGGGTGATAATGTTGATTTGTGATAACTCGACAATGGCAGAGGGAATTTTATGATTTTTCTGTTCGTTTTGGGGGCGGTTTTTTAGGGTTAAAATGAGAGCTGATTTGGTTGAATTGTATCGTTGGGTCTGGAGATATTGGGGATTGAAGAGGGTTTCCTTTTCCGGGGTTTTTTCGTTCTGGGATTTTAGCGAGGGTAATGGAATTGAGACAGGCGTGAATCATGACAGATAAAAGTACTTCGAGTAGTTGATACAATTTGATAATTGAACGTTATCCCGGCATTCAGTGACACTCAACACTTTGAGCTTTTGGAGATTTAGGTTTGAATATCTGGTGATTGAAGAACACGATTTGAATGAACTTGGTAACAGCCAGTTTTGTTCAGTTCGAAGATATATTTATCCATTTTAGACTGAGATTGAGCTCCAAATGCTCCACTATTAATGGAGCATTCGGGGAAGATGACTAGGGATTATGATCTGGACACCTGCGTGGGAATTGTTCAAGTTGGACTTTTTCTCTTTTCGAATACTATCACTCGACTATTTGTAACATCATTTATGTTCAAATTATTATTTATCTTGAAAGAAATCAACTTGCGAACTATTCTCTAAACAACAATTTTGATTTATTACTTTGAGACCCGGGTGTACTATCTTTCGAATGTTATCTGGTTTTTTTTTATCTTTCGTAATCCAAAATTGTCAATCGAGTGGTACATCATGTAGAAATTCCAAAAAATTATGATAGAATGATAAAAAAAATAGAAAAAATTCTGAGCTTTTTCAAAGAGCGTTTTAAATTGAGATTCAGAATGCGTTGAAAAAAGTGGAAATTACAAATATCCGATTCGCTGTGGCAAATTATCTATTTGCTGTCATTTACCATGGTGGATAACAAAACACTAACCCTCATGGGACGTGACAGCTAGGATCTCAATTTTCAAAACAGTGGTATGTAGTCATCTGCCATTTTTATGTGATAAAAGTGTGATTAAAAAATTCTCCAAAATATTACAACTTTTTTCAAAGAGCCTTTTCCGTAATAAATGTCTCTGTGCAGTGTGGGAAAAGATTTACGAAATCAGTCTTCCCCCTGCATGATATTGGGTGACAGGCCGCCATTTGTCACCGTAAATCAGCTACATTTTTCAATTTCTTGTTACTCAACTTATTCTGAACATAAATTAAAAATGCTCTTTGAAAAAATTAAGAGTTTTTTCTACTTTTTTTTTTATTATTCATTCATAATTTTTCAAAACTTCTGCATGATGCAGGACTTAATTGACGATTTCAGATGACGAAAGATGAAAAAAATATCGAGATAACGTTCGAGAGATAGTACACCCGGGCCTTAAGGCATTGTTGGATAAGCCATTATAAATAAATACAGTTTATAATCTGCACAAATTGTAATTTTCAGTTAATTCACGCCTTCTTACCAAAAAGTTTTCATTTTTCATTTTTTTTCTCATTAAATGTTGACTAGATGTGATAAAATTATTGATTTATTGGTTTTGTTAATTATTTTACCAATTATGAAATTGATTCTCATAGAGAATAAAATAAGCGATCTGTCGCACAATTGAGAAAATTCCCAGGAAAAAAATTTCAAATCACTCACCACCAATCTGGTGTTGAACAAGAAATAAAAAAGCTCCATCTCGTTGAATTTGCAACTGACAATGGGATTGTTGTATTTATGTTGTAGGCGTTGGAAAAAGCTCTCTCCTCCTCAGATTCGCCGACAACACCTTCAACGGAAGCTACATAACAACCATAGGTGTTGATTTTAAAATACGAACAGTTGAAGTTGACGGTGAGCGTGTGAAACTCCAAATTTGGGACACAGCCGGCCAGGAGCGTTTTCGTACGATAACATCGACGTACTATCGCGGTACCCATGGTGTTATTGTTGTGTACGACGTAACAAGTGGTGATTCATTTGCCAATGTCAAGAGATGGCTCCACGAAATCGAGCACAATTGCGATATTGTTAATAGGGTTTTAGTTGGTAATAAAAATGACGCGCCAAATCATAAAGTTGTACTGACTGAGGATGCACAGCGTTTTGCCAATCAAATGGGAATACAGCTGTTTGAGACGTCAGCGAAAGATAACATTAATGTTGAAGAGGTAATTTTTTTCCTAATCATCCCCCTCACCAGGATAACCCTTTGAATTTTCAATTCCAGATGTTCATGGCAATAACTCGTCAAGTTCTCCGCACGAAAAAAGAGCGAAAAGAGCGCCAGGCTATCCAGACAAACGAAACAGTGAATTTGCGGAAAAGTACGAAGCAACATAGAAAAAAGTGTTGTTAGCATTTTCCCCAGTCTCCACTCCCACCAATGCCAACAGATGAGAACAAACACAAGTGTTTGAATAATTCGATGTCAGGACATCCTATGTTAATATAAGAGCCACAAGTCAAGTAGGTGAGATGATAATGAACTTGAGCGTGTGTATCGAGTTCTCAAGCTCCCCTGGAGAAATATTATTTCATGTTGAAAAACGAGGAAACAATAATACGAATTAACATGGCACAATTCTTGGCGCCTGCCAGTTGCTCTTTTTCAATGCATAGCAGATTTACAGGGGTCACGTGATTCTCAGCGAATGAGTCTGAATAAAACAGAGCATGCAACCCCATTTATGAATTATTCAACGAAATCTGTAATTGTCGAGCTATACAAAAAATCGGATTACACACATAGACGTAATTTAATAAATAAAACATTCAGTTGCTATTTGTAAAGTGTTATAAACAATTGTTTTTTTAATAAATAAAATTATTTAAGATGAATTGAGGAATGCAGCACAAACACGAATTTTCGTACGAAAGATTTTTTTACAATTGATTGATTGATTGAGGTATTAAACTTCGTTGTAAATATGTACATCAGTTATGAACATTTTGCAAATAGTTTTCATGCCACTGTGGTCGACCTAAATTTCAGGGAAACAGGGAAAATCATTCGGAGAATATTTGTACAAGGGAAATTGAACAAGAGTACAGACTCAGCCGTGACGAAGACTGCGAGAAAGTATGTGATAAATAATTTCAGAACGAAATGGAAAATATAAAACCCAAAATCGTCACGAATTTTATTGGAGATTTCAGTCGTATCGACATATCAGAATTCAACTCTGACCACAAAGTATTCATGCGTGAATAATAGAGGGTTCAATGGCGAAGTGATAAAATGGACATTCGATTTTTTTATGTGAATATTCATTGTTGAAAAGTGAGAGCCCAGGGAGAATGAGAGCTTTCCCCGAGAAATTCAGTGGAGTAATAGAAGAATTCAATTTGAGTTTTGTTGAAAAATCTATTTATTTTTATTTTGCTAATCTCTTTTGAAAATTAGGCAGCTTTGCTGGGTTTTTCAATTAGTATTTTGGAGAGAAAAGACAGTAGACGGTGATTTTTTGAAAATTGACTCAATCTGTCTAGATTTTTTACATAAGAATTTTTAGGTATTAAGGTTTTTTGTAGAGAAAATTTCGAGAGGGCAATGAGTATGGAGAAATGAATGTATATCGACTTTTTTCCATCAAATATCTAGTAAATATCTAGTAAATCGATTTTTAATTGAATTTCAAGGGGATTTTTCTTGCAAAAATCAATAGGGCTTCGCATTAAATTTTTTATACGTGTATCTTCAGGAAAAAAGTTTGAAAAAATTTTTTATTATCAACTTCAAGAGCCAAAAAAAATGTCTCAACATTTTCTCGTGAAACCACTAATTCTGACACATATTTAGTAGAAAAAGTTAATATTCTTTTGGGGTTGTAGCTATAGAAAATTTTTGGGCATAAGTTTATCAAGTTTTTCTCATGGAAAATCTAGTTTTCTCTAAGAAACTCTATTAAATCTCTACTTAAATTCTCTGAAAAATTGTATTCTACTTGTTTGTTTTTTATTCAATTCCTTTTGAAAAATATGCAGCTCTGCTGGGTGTTTTCCATAAATATTTCATAGAAAAAGTCTATAGACTTAAATTTTTGATTATAACTCATTCTGTTAGGATTTTTAAATGAGCAATTAACATGAGAAAATTAAAGTCCATCGACCTTTTTCTATAAAACATCTATTAAAATCGATTTTCAGTAGAATTTCAATACCATTTTTCTTGGAAAAACCGTTATGTTTTATCTTGAATTTTTTAATTCACGTGGTTTAAAAAAAAATGTTCAAAAAACATTTTTTCTCGTTAATTTCATCAGCCACAAAAAATGTATCTCAACATTCTTTCGTGAAACCACTCATTATCGACATGAATGCACAATCAGAAGAATCGAATTTCAGTTGTCAATGTTTATCACTTCATTGTTGAACTAACGAGCATATTCGTCGTTAATCGCAATGTACCTGATGTAACGGCGCGAGAATGTATGTACCAAGTATTAGCCTACACAAATATAAACTTTCTATTCAACAATAAAAACGAAAAAAAGCAAAAATAGTCTCGGTATTTTCTTAGCAAAAGTGTATATTAAAATCTCATCACAACAGACATTTTATTAATGCACTGGCGTACCTCATTGCTATTTACATTCTTGTATTTTTAGTTTTTCTCATAAATTACTATGCGCTTGATTTCATTATAAATACGACCATCCTTTCAGGATTATTTATAAATAATATTTACATGACGTGTGTATTCAGTTGTGAAATGATCAGGCAGGATTTGTCGACTCCATTAATTTATTTTACAGATGAATATCGCGGAATCTGAGGGGGATAGCGAAATTTTGATGAAAATCTTTTTTGTAGACCTCACTTTGCTCTATAAAAAAGGTTCTCATGAAAATTTGGCTATCTCTAATAGATCAATTAGTAAATTCAATTGAATTTCTAGTGGAAATTCTGTTAGTTTTGCGTTCATTCTGTTGTAAAATTCGGCGAGTTTAATTCTGCTCTTTGAGGATGAATCTGTGAAATATTTTCTGTTGAACATTTCTCTTTGAAAAAAAATACAGAAAGTTGCTGAATTTTTCGGTAAAGCCAGGAAAAACCAAAAGAATTCCAATATTAATCGAATTTCCTGATGTGCGAGATTTTTCTATTCAACATTCCTCATATAATTGATCAATCCTGCTCGACCACTTGAACATCCACTTTACGATAAATACAGGGACGAAAAAATTTCACAGAAGAGGCTAGTGCATTCCCTAGAAAATTCCATTCCATTTCTATTGGAAATTCTGCAGTTTAGTACAGAAAGGGCGAATGACATTGATCTTCCAGAGAATCAATAACAATTTTTTTCTATTTATATAATTCATGTTTTTAATTTATTGGGATAGCTTCTTAAAATTTTCTTTTCCAAATTTTTCAATTCTATTGTTTTTCTCCTGTGACAAAAAATTAAACAAAATAATTTGGAATGTTTAGGCCGATAATTTTCTGTAGAAAATAATTTCTCCTGTAAGTCATTTTTTACAGAAATCTAATAGAATTTTCTGCACTCTACGTTTTTTGCGACATTTTTTCATGCTTGTATTTCTCTGCGTGCAGAAGGGATACCAGAATTTTCATGAGAACCTTTATTTTATCTTCTGCCAAAAAGATTCTCATGAAAAAACTCCACACTTCCCTCCTAGCGAATTTCCTATAAAATACTATTGGATTTCTATTAAACTTTCTATTAGTTTCGATTCTATTGAAAAATTCCGCAGTTATTTCCATGTGAAAAATTTATTCATTGACACATTTGCTGTAGAAATTTCCACGTTTTTTGTTTAATTTTTTTAATGAAAAAAAAGTAGAGTGGAAAAATTTTGGAAAATTCATGTCCAAGAATTTCTACAGAAAACATCTCAATACCAAAAGTCTTACAGAAAAATCGAATTCTATTGATTTAGTAGCGAAGCAGTAAAATGTTTCAAGTCGTAATTGAGTTTTCGACTAATATCTCCGAAACTAAGGGAGATAACAAAATTTTCATAATAACATTTTTTGTAGAGCAAATTGAGGGCTACGAAAAAGGTTATAACAAAAATCTTGCTATCTCCCTTAGATTCCGAGATATTCATTGAAAACCGGCGAATAGCTTATTAAATTTGTTCCATAGTCCAACAATTGTAGAAATTCACCGTCGAGTGCATTGACTCACCCATTCAGTCATGCATACTGACTAAACATTTCATAGTTAGTGGTATTATTGGCAAATAATGATGATACATTGATGCACCACGTTTTTTGGTGAAACACCTTCGATGAAATTTCTATCAGAATTAATCGGAAGATTATTTTTATTCATTTCGACACCTAACCGCGGGTTCTCTCAACCTTTTTACCCTTCGCCACTGGATTCTGCCTACAAAACAATTTCCATCAGCCATTTTCCAATTAGAATCCCCCAAAAACCCGTTTCAATAAAACGTTCCAATAAAAAAAAAATAGAAATCCACTAGAATTCACCCAAATTCGCTACATTTTCCTCCAAAATTTCTTCTCCCACCGCCCGCCCCTCCCCCACTCAATGTTTCGACTGAACAGCCACAGTGCTGAACACAAAAACAAGACACCCAAACGTGAGAATAGAGCCATGAGCAACAATAGCACTGCCCTCCCACCCAGCCTGCGTGTAAACACTCTTCCCATCACTCTGATCCATGACACAGCACTTGCACGACCTGTGTCCATTCCCCACCCTGACCCCGCACTCGCTCACCCCATTCTCCCCCCTCCTGAAGTCCTTCCAATGCTCAGGAATGAGATCCTCACTCTCCTGGATCGTCAACGACGTGCAATCACACGAATAAAAAACATTATCAACAGTAGTTCCATATTCACTGTAATTCAACAACTCGTACCGTTTAGTGGTCTCATCGAAGAATATGACAGCATGCTTCGAGGAGATGCATTCACAGTCGCCGTACCTGGACAGCAGGACATCGCAGTTGGCACCAGTGCCAATGGTCATTGTCCTTCGAACCATGAAGGCTGGGGGCCCTGGCTTCCTGCTGAGTGGGAACAGCGCAGCCCTCGCCTGGTACTGACTGTTGATCACCTTATAATCACTCCCCAGAGGGTTCAGTATCTGCTCCAGACGCTGCTCAGCGAGAGCCTCGAGCACTGGACGATCCAGCAGCTGCACCCCCTCCTTGAGCCCATACCCCACCCTGCGATCCTGCCTGGGCGACTGCCCCCTGCCCTCAGAACTCCTTCGAGACTCCTGGGAACTCCTCCCAGCGCCTCGGGAATTCCTCTGCGCATTCTTCCTCGGGCTTTTCTCGTCCGGGGACAGGGGCCTGTCGATCTCCATCTGAGAGCCACACCTCGTTATGAGGTGGTTCGATGCAGCCTCCGGTTCCTCCTGCTGCTTCGTGGACTCTGGTGAATCCTCGCTGGGGCCTCCATCAACGTCTTCATGGCCATTCTCCATTCTGGGCTCTGGGGGGGGTCCTTGCACTGGATTTATGAAGAAGTTTTGCCTGTAAGTGTTGATGGAGTTGAGCTCTGGGGGGTTGGCGTAGTGGGACTTGACGATGTCTGGGACTTTGACTTTTTTCTTGTCACTGACTGTGAGCTTCACTCGAAATGGGGGGTTTGTGCTGTAGGCTTTCTTTATGAATTCCAGTTTTACGGCGTGCTGGTCGATCCTTCGAGTGGCGAATTGATCCCAGAGCTTCAGGCGAGTCGTTGCGTTGCAGGATTGCAGGAGGTTTTGGTCGATGAAGTGGTTGGGGTGGTTTGGACACATCCATCTGCCACTGGGGAAGGCCGTCAGAGGGGGGTCCAGGCAGTCCTGGTGGAAGTAGAGGGGACAGTAGTCGCAGGCTATGAGGGGGGCCTTCTTGCAGCTCTTGCCGCACTCGAAGCACAGGCGCGCTGGGAGGGGGACCATTGTGCCGGAGTCCAGGCAGTGGGACTTGCCGTTGCTGCAGGACGACGTCTGCGGCTTCTTCTTGCCGTTCGTCGGGTCGATCTTGTCGGTGCCGGGGAATGTTATGGGGAGACGGAGCTCTTTGGGGAGCTCGAACTCGCGGGGATTCGCCAGCGACGCCGCCAGGGCCAGGACCTCCAGGGCGCTCTTGTTTTTTGTCTTTTTGTGGTTTAACTTGTCCTTCTCCTTCTTTGCGGCGCAACGACAGGAGTGGCACATCCACTCGCCGTTGGGAATGTCCGAGGGCTCCAGGGGGGGGTCACTGAAATGAAAGGATTTTTTTTTTTTGAGTGAGGGGTTTCTGGGGGAAATCTAGCGCTCTCTCGAGGATTCTAGGGAGCTTCTAGTGGGGGGTCTGGAATTCTTTTGAATTCTATGAATTCTCTTTGCTGTGGATTTTGATTATTTTGGAGAAATTATTGAGTGCTAATTTTGTGAGTTTTTTCTGCACTATTTTTATTTGGTTAGCACAATAAAATATAAGGAAAAATGGATAATTCATGCTAAAAAATTTGAGGAAGAAAAGTTCCAAGGAATAAGTTACAGAGAAAAATCAACATCAATACGCATTTTCTATAAACAAATATCTATTCAAAAACGCACGGGATTTTTTTTATAGAATTCTAATAGAACTCAAATACAATTCTTATGGAGTTCCAATAGAAATTCAGTGAAATTTCTTGGAAAAGCGCAAGGTTTTTCTGTCCATTTTTTTCGCTCGGAGAAATATCTTACCAAAATATAAATATATTAATAAAATATTGATATTTCAAGATGTACATCTTCGTTTCGTGGCTGTTCTTGATAAATATAATTAAAGTCAATAAGAATTCTATTGGAGTTTTATTGGAATTCTATCACAAAGTTTTATTTCTATTTTTTTTGTGAAAATTCTTTTGAAGATTATGCAATTTTATCCTGTCATTTGGTCAAGAGATACTGGATGACAAAAAGTCAATAGATTTTGACTTTTTTATCGAAATTTTTCCAAGTTTTTTCCGCTGTACTTTTGTTGTATTTTCGTTTTTTAATAACATACAAAAAAAACTGAAAAAATCCTCTCAAGAATTCTTATAGAAATAATGCCAATGGAATAAAAAAAAGAATTAAAAAAATATCAAGTTTGAATTATTCCGCTTTTCTTCAGTTGCGTATTTATCATCGTGGAATAAAATAGAGTATCTCAATGATGTTTACGATCCACTGAATAGTCCCAAGTCGACCACTTGAATTAAATATTCATGAATCAAAAATGAGGCTCATTTCCAATTCAGGTTATCATCGTATATTGACTGATAATGAAGGAGGCAATGAGAGCTCTCGCATGCAATTTCATTCCAAAGCATTGATTGATCTATCGTATATAATCTCTATGAATGTACTCTTTCCAATAAAACTAAATCATCCATTCTGATAAAGCCATCATTCTAATTAAAATGCATGAACCTGTTCTGTAATAGATAATCCAAGATGAAAAACCTCGAGGAATTGAGAACCCATTACATGGCAGACATTTTTCAACAAAAATTCAATATACAAATAGTGAAATGATGAATCAATTCATGAATCAATTTCACTTTAGAACAGATTAATTCTAAAAAAATATGGCAAGACTTAGCGAAGAGAGGTATAAACCGTAAAATTCCCCACACAAAATTCTAAAAAATTCGTAAGAAAAAAATTGATCTGTTACTAAATTTAAGAATGGATTTTCTTTATTGTTATTTTTAATTAATATCTCAGTAGGAGAGACAGTAAACGTTTTCGTGGAGATTTTATTGTAGAGTAAATGACTAAATAATTTTTTCCATATATTTTTTTTTCATGGAATATTTTTCGATACTCTTGTAGGAGCCATTGAAACTTTTGTAGACTTTTTACAGCTTTCACTTCACCCTTCAAAAAAGATCATTTGAAAAGTCTGTAGATTTTTCAAAAAATATATATCGCAAAAATCCTCCAAATCCATAAATATCCCCAAAAACCCATTCTAAAAGGAAATTAACTCGTCCAATTGAACAATTCAATTAATCCCGAAAAACCTAAATGAAAAATAATCAGACCTAGTGGGACTGTAAATAAAAAAATGCTGGAGTCTTGTCGACATTTTTTGAGAAATACTCTGACCCTATAAAAAAGTCTAGACTTTCCACAAAAAAATATCACAAAGAATCCTCCAGATCCAGAAATATCCCCCAAAAACCCATTCTATAACGAAATTACCTCGTCCCCTCTCACACTGAATTAATTTTCAATGGCTTCAGCATTTTCAATCAAGGTTGTCTACCCCGAAGCATTTATCATGCGCAATTCCCCGATAATATCTCGACAACTTTCATCCCAATTGTTGTCTCGCAGTGAACGTACGAAATAAAATATGGAGTGCCCCAATTGAACAATCCAATTAATTCCCAGACTAAATAAAAAATGATCAGACTCACTGGCACTGTAAATGAGAAGATCTAGACACTTGTCGACATTTTTTGAGAAATATTCCGACCCTATAAAAAAGTCTAGACTTTCCACAAAAAAATATCACAAAGAATCCTCCAGATCCAGAAATATCCCCCAAAAACCCATTCTATAACGAAATTACCTCGTCCCCTCTCACACTGAATTAATTTCCAATGGCTTCAGCATTTTCAAACAAGGTTGTCTACCCCGAAGCATTTATCATGCGCAATTCCCCGATAATATCTCGACAACTTTCATCCCAACTGTTGTCTCGCAGTGAACGTACGAAATAAAATATGGAGTGCCACAATTGAACCCAGAATAACTGAGAAATGATCAGACTCACTGGCACTGTAAATGAAAAGATGCTGGACACTTGTCGCAGCAAATGAGTTCACCACCATCCCTGCAGGCATCACAAGAATCCCTATTATGTCCTCTGCCAGGTCTCTTGAAGTACGGATGACGTTTTTCCTCCTTATCTTTTTTACTCTTGCCAGTTTTCGACTCTTCAGACACCGGTGGGGCTATCAGTGCCTGAATTTGCTGTGAAACATGAATAATTGTTTTTTTTTCTCAGATCCCTGAGAGCAGTATCTAACTGATACGATGAAAATTGGATTGAATGGATTTTCAGAACAGATTGTGAGGGGATTTTGTCCACTTACTGGCATTAATCCACTGTTCGTTGGCAGTCCATACTCGACAGTTCCCATTTTTCTGGCTTTTCGATTTTTAATTGCCCTCGAGACGATTTCTCTGGCTTTCAGCAGGATCTAGCGTCTGATCAAAACCACTCACGACAACAGTTTCGTCGGTGCACTGGGTACCATGTTCCAGAGGTTGACAACCACTTTTTCAAATGCTTTTGACCTGCACGTGAAGAGACCATAGACTCTACTTTATCGTCTGGCGATCAGTCAGGCGAGCATGGCTGAATAACCTTCTTCAAAAGTGTCAACGATTTGTTTTTATGAGGAGTTTTTCACGTGTTTATTTGTAAGAATTCGGGAGGATGAGGTACGGACAACTGGTGATGGGCCCAGCAGGCAGTGGCAAGGTTGATTATTCAATGTTTATGCTTGTTGGGATTTTTAGAAATTCATTTTATTGGTGAAAATTGGGGGTTTGAACGACGGAATTGGCTTCCAAAGGAATTAGTTATCCAGTTTTTTATTGAAATTTTCAATTGCCTATGAATTAAATAATTGAAAATATGGGATTTTAAATTGACTATTAGGCAAATATTTCTAAATTTCTTAACAGGTATTTCCCGAATTCATTTATCGATTGATAAAATAATTCGGAATTTGGTAATTTAATTGGCCATTAATTGAATAATTAATAATTGATGAGTAGGGGAGGGCAGGGTAAAATGGACACTTTAGACTTTTTTAAAATTATTCATAACTCAGAAACAAATGCATCAACAGAGCTCATTTGAGGCTCATCACAAAGGGAAAGCATTGCTCTTTGTATTGAAAAAAAAAAAGATTGAATTTCATCAACAATTCAACCCGTCACTTATATTTTTAAAAAAGTCAAAAGTCTCCATTTTACTCCAACGTCCCCTATTATTAACAATTGACTTCTTCAAAATTCAACTTTCAACTCAACAAAATTCAAAATTTAACTTTCAACTTTTCAACTCAAGTATTTTTGTAATGCAAGTGTGCAAGTGTGCAAGTGTAGTTCACATTCCATTTCCATTTTTGGAATTTGTTTAGTGCATGAAGCAAAAAATTAACACAATCAGTTTAATTCGATGGATATTGAACAATTGAATAATTGAATGAATATGAAATAATTTGATAAATATTATTATCATTCATGTTATTATTATCAAACACCAAATTAACTTCAATATTCAATCAAATGTCAACAATCACGGTGAAGCACCTCAACATTTTCCAGAGGAATTACTTCTATTCGTTGCTATTTATCACTTAAAAAGCGTGTTTCTCTGGTTTTCACAAACCATTTAAGTTTTAATTAATGACCTTAATTTTCTGTTTCAGTCCACGTACTGTAGCACGATGCAGAGGCAAGCAGCTGATGAGAATAAAACCGTTCACATCGTTAATTTGGATCCAGCTGCTGAATTCTTTGATTATGAGCCACTAGTTGATATCAGAGAATTAATTCACGTTGATGATGCCATGGAAGACGAAGAATTGAAATTTGGACCCAATGGGGGTCTGGTTTTCTGTATGGAGTGAGTGAATTTAGCTAATCATTGAAAATAATAAAAAACAATAATGAGATAATAAATCAATTTCGCACTCAGAAACTTTTGTAAATATCTTCATCTCGTCATAATTTTTCTAGGTCTTTTCCGCTCTATTTTTCTCTTTCATTAAAGAAATCAAACAAAAAAACAGAAAATTTGAGTTCAGGGATTTCTATAGAAAATATCGAAAAGAATAAGTTATATAAAAAAATCAAATTCTATTGATTTTTTCTATATAATATTTTTAAAAAGTGCACGTATAAATTGCGAAATTTTTCAGTAGAATTTTCTACCGAATTCATTACCTCACACACAGAAATTCACTCTCAAATTCACCTCATACACCGCCTAACCTCCTTTAGACATTAAAGAATTCTAACAGAATTAGAATTTAGATAGAAAAAATTTCCGCTTCACCCAGCCGGGAATTGAACCCGGGTCTCCCAGGATATATTTATTTATTTATTTATTTAGGGTTATATTTATTTATTTATTAATTCCAAGTATGGCCTACTCGGCCTTTTACATTATTTTGGATGAATATCGTAGTTGCGTAGTGATAGATTAGCATATAATGTAGAAACAACAACTATAAAATGATGTATGCATGTAAATAATAATAATAATAATAGAGAACTCTCTGAAATGAAAGACCGAATGCATTACATTTTTCTATAAAACTTTTTCGTTCCTATCAATAACTGGACTTAAATTTCCAGATATTTAATCGAAAATTCATCGTGGCTGGAGGAGGAACTAGGTGACACTGACGACGACTACATAATCTTCGACTGTCCAGGACAGATAGAACTCTACAGTCACATGAAAGTCATCAGCGATCTCATAAAAATCCTCCAGAACCTCAACTTTCGTCTCTGCGGAGTATTCCTGGTCGACAGCCAATTCATGGTCGACGCCTCGAAGTTCTTGTCTGGAACAATGGCAGCCCTCAGTGTCATGATAAACCTCGAGCTCCCCCACATGAACATCCTCTCAAAAGTGGATTTGCTATCGAAGTCAGCCAAGAAACAACTGGATAAGTACCTCGAGCCAGATCCCTACAGCCTCCTAGCAGACCTGGACGACGATCCCTGGAACGATAAGTACAGGAATTTGACGCAAGCCCTGGGGAGGCTCATCGAGGACTACAGCCTCGTGAGGTTCTATCCGTTGAATATCAAGGACGAAGAGAGTATTGCTGATATTAAGATAACGATTGATAATATGATTCAGTATGGGGAGGAGGAGGACGTGAGGATGAGGGACTTTGATGAACCTGAGGCAGAAGATGATTGATTTAAGGGTTAATTACACGTTTGAGGAAATTTAATGGAAGAGGCTAGCACTTTTCAAGAATTTCTATCCAATTTCTGCTGGAGTTCTGGTAAAATTCTGTTGCTTTTTTATCTGGATTTTTATTCTTCTCTAGAAATCCTTGGATATAAATTTTCTAGGTTTTTTCTGCTGTATTTTTAATTGTTTCTTATAAAAACTGTTTTTTAAAACTTGGAAAATTCATGCCCAAAAATTTTCATAGAAGAAAATTTCCAGAGTGAGTTATAGAGAGAAATCAATATTTATAGAAGTTCAGTTCAATTTCTGTCGAATTACTAGTGGTCTTCTGTTAAAATTCTATTGTTTTTTTATTTCATATAGAAAAGTCAATGAATTTTTATTCTCTAGAAATCCTTGGGCATAAATTTTCTAAGTGTTGTCTGCTATATTTTCATTTTTTTCTTAGAAAAACTTGAAAAAAAAGAAATTTAAAAATTCATGCCCAAAATTTTTCATAGAAAAAATCCCAATAGATTAAATTACACGGAGAAATCAATGTCTATGGAATTTTTTCTATCAAAAATTGTTATTGCAAAACAGCAGAGTTGCAGATTTTTCAATCGAATTCTAATAGAACTGCACTAGAATTTCTCAGACGAAATTTTCATACGTGAAATCGTTTTATAGAAGACAATATCTATTTTAAGAAATAAAACATTATTTTTCATGTTTTTTTTTATAAATTCGAGTTATTCTCTCGTCCTACCCAGCGAATGCTCTACGAAATTCGACTGAATATCGGAGTTAATTTCAAATAGATATTCAATAGAAAATATCTCTCGAAAAAATTTAATCTTTCAATACAACTCATTCTATTGAAATTATTTCCACAAAAGTTTGAATTTTTCAAAGAGAAAAAAAAAAATGCAGTGAAAAAATTCTACCATTCATGTCAAGGCATTTCCCCAGGAGAAATATCTCTACTGAATAATTGTCGTACGCGATTGACTCCAGAATCAAAAACTCATTTCATACAAGGCAAAAAAATATATTTAAGTAATAAAAATCCACGTTCTTTCATAATTTATATTAGTAATTTTAATATTATAGTCGTTAAGAGCCCAGCGCAGAGTCTGCATCAGCCTTCTGTCTTTTTGCACGCTTCACTTGCTCTTCTTTATGTCGATTAAGATATTCTTTGAATGACTCAGCAGCTCTGTCCTCGTCGTTGGCATCCTCAGGGACTTCTTCATCCTCGTCTGGACTGGAGTCATCGCCAGAGGCCTTGAGGTAGACATCAGCTATGTCTTGTCCAGTGGAGACTGTCGTTATCCCTGCGGTTTGGGCCTTGGCTACTGCCACATTCAACTTCGATTTTCGTTTTTCAATCTCTGAGGCTTTCTCTGCTCTCAGTTTCTCCCAGTCTTTTCTGTAAACTCTGGAATAAAATAGAGAAATGAAAACAATTATTCAATTATTATGTGGAGGGCCTGTATTTGTGGACAGGATTTTTTACGTTTCGTATTCCTGCACAGCTTCCTTGACGAGGCTGAAGAACTCTGGGATTCCCACTCCAGTTTTTGCGGAAACTCCACAGCTTTTCAAGTGACTGTAGAATTCGTCGAGAGTCAGGGCCATGGATCTGGTTAAATTACTTATGTAGCTTGTCTCTGAGTCGAGGGCTTCTTGGAATGCTTCGAAATCCTGCATCCACTCCACTGCATAACTGTGTTCAACTATATCAATCTGGAATTCAGAATTTATTATTTTTAAAGTGAAGGGAGGAATTTACATTGAACAAAATTAGACGATTTTTAATTGAGGCCCGGCTGTACTATCTTTCGAACGCTATCTCGATGTTTTTTTCATCTTTCGTCATCTGAAATTGTCAAATAAGTCCTGCATCATGCAGAAGTTTTGAAAAATTATGAATGAATAATAAAAAAAGTAGAAAAAATTCTTAAGTTTTTCAAAGGGCATTTTTAATTTATATTCAGAATAAGTTGAATAACAAGAAATTGAAAAATGTATCTGATTTACGGTGACAAATGGCGGCCTGTCACCCAATATCATGCAGGGGGAAGACTGATTTCGTAAATCTTTTCCCACACTGGACAGAGACATTTATTACGGAAAAGAATCTTTGAAAAAAGCTGTAATATTTTGGAGAATTTTTTAATCACACTTTTACCACATAAAAATGGCAGATGACTACATACCACTGTTTTGAAAATTGAGATACCTAGCTGTCACTTCCCATGAGGAGTTAGTGTTTTGTTCTCCACCATGGAAAATGACAGCTAATAGATAATTTGCCACAGCGAATCAGATATTTGTAATTTCCACTTTTGTAAACTCATTCTGAATCTCAATTAAAAACGTTCTTTGAAAAAGTTCAGAATTTTTTCTATTTTTTTTATCATTCTATCATAATTTTTGGGAATTTCTACATGATGTACCACTCAATTGACAATTTTGGATTACGAAACATAAAAAAATTCAGATATCATTGGAAAGATAGTACACCCGGGCCTTAAATCAATGATTTTTTAATATTCTCGTGGATATTTCGATTGTGATCACTACTTTCACGTAATTATCTGAAGATCCTAGTGGATGATCTCACCTTGTTCATGACGACAATGAACGGCAACTTCGTTTTATACAAAATAGAGCACGCATACAGCATGTTTGACATGAATGTGGCGGGACTGACACTCCTCACAGTATCCAAAACGTAAACGACAATCGTTGGGAACTGGGAGGCGAGGGCTTCAGTGATGATCGTCCCACTGGCAGACCACGTGAACACCTCGATCTGCCCTGGTGTATCGAGCACAACGTATTCATGCTCTTCTCCAGCTTTATCAATCAACTCCACGACTTTGTCGAACTTCGTTGAGAATAGATTGAGGGTTGTGACGATGCCACCGTTCGGGCCCAGACGATACTGCTTCATCACTTCTTTGTAGTTCACAGTGTCTCGAATGTCTGGAAGAGAAATTCATGTAACAGAATTAAGGAAAACCTGAAGTCAAGATTTTTGGGATTTCTTGGAATGAAAAGTGAAGTTAATTGAAGTTTTTCGAGCAATTACATTGTTTTGTCACAGAATCAAGTTTTTTGTGTGAAATATCTTTCATCATGATCTTTCTGACATGATGTCCAACTACGAATGTGAAAAAGGATTTTAACGAAAAAACAAGTGGGTAATTATAACTTTAAATTTAAGCTTCATAACTTTAACATAATATTAAAGTTATAAAGCTTAAAAATTAGATTAATTTTTTTAATTAATTTATATTTTTAATTGACCATTTTTTTTGTTTATAATATTGATGGAAAGGAAAGAAATACAGAATTTTAAAAACCGAGGAGATTTAATCGAAAATATCTCAATAGAATAAATTATACAGGAAACTCAGATCCTATTGACTTTTTCTACAGAACATTTTCAGTTTATCATTTCAACAGAATCCGCCAAAAACTAGGGGAGGATGGGGTAAAATGGACATTCTTGACCTTTTTTAAAATATTCATAACTCAGAAACACATTTATCAATTGGGATAAATCAATAGAATTCAATTTTTCTATATAACTTATTCTATTGCGATATTTTCTACAGAATTTCCTCGACTCAAATTTTCCAAGTTTTTTCGTTTGATTTTCTTGATGAGAAGAAAAGAAAAATTGAATGAAAAAACCTTGGAAAATTTGAGTTGAGCAAATTCTACAGAAAATATATGAAAAGAATAAGTTATATAGGGAAATCGAATTCTGTTGACTTTTTCTATTGAACATGTCAATAGAATCAGCCAAAAACTAATAGACAGTTTAATGGAAATTCAATAGAATTTTCTAACGAATTCGATAAGTTTTTCTATTAAATTTTTTCGTGCGTGGACCCTTCGAATTTTCCCTGAAAATCTCACCTATATTCGTGGGATAGGGCACTTCCCTGCAGGCTGGATCCAGATTAACGACATAGGGCTTCCCACTCTCATACAAAGTCGACACGATTTTCTGGACAAAAGTTGTTTTTCCAGAGCCAGCCATTCCCAGGACGATGATGCAGACTGGGCCTTTCCTCGAGGCTTCCCTGGCTCCGCCGCCCCTGGCAGAGGCAGCCCCTGCCTCTCCTGTGTCCATCGATTCCCCCTTACACTCTCCCTCTCCACTCGATGCAGATGCAGACATTCTGCAAATATAATTCGTTAATTGAAACAAAAATTGGAGACTCAATCTGCAGAATGTTTATGTGCACCGGTTGTTTCGTATCAACACGTGGGAACCATGATGCTTTTGGAACTGGAGGGGGAAATGCCTTCGAGAGGTCGATAATGAAGCAATAACTGGGGATGGGCAATATTTTGTCGATTAATCAAAAACGTCGATTTTTCATTCGATTTTTTTTTTACGGATAATCGATTTTGTATTCGGTGAAAACATCGAATGAACATCGAAAATCGATCGATCGGTGATTAATCGATTTTCGATTGTTATTTCCAAACATCAATGTTGAAAATATTCAATATATTTTTTTCAATTAATCAACAAAACTATGTGTTTTTAAAATCCTTCAATAAAAACGAGAAAAAAAAATTTTTTTTCAATTTTTTTTCTATGCAATGAGAAAAACATCGATGTTCCAATAATCGATGTTTTTTCCAGAAAAATCGATTCACCTCATCGATGTTTACTATCGAAGAATCGATGTTTTTTAAAATTTCAGCCATCCCTACTCCTAACCTCCTCGAAGACACATGGAGCAACAGTGTTTGTTTACATAGACAGAAACTCTAATTATTCGGAATTATTCAGTAATAAACATGAGTTTTGCAAGAACGAAGGACGTGATTGACGAGGGTGACGCTGTGGTGCTGTACCTGGGCCCCCAGAGCATGCACACCTTCGAGGTGACTCAGAAAATAGTGAATAAGAAGGGGGAAATGGTGGATAACGTCTTCCAGACGACGTACGGTGCCCTGAAGGTTCCGAGTTTGATTGGGAAAAGGTATGGCTCCAAAGTGGAACTGTCGAAGGGCTGGGCTTTTGTTCTTCAACCCACTCCCGAGCTGTGGACCACGACTTTACCACATCGTACACAGATTATTTACACTCCGGATATCAGTTTGATTATTCATCTGTTGGAGCTGGTGCCTGGGAGCATTGTCATCGAAACTGGTTTGTATGGTTTTTAAAGGAATTAATGGTGCAAGTGCACAATTGCATTTTTATAAATGAGTCTAGTTATTGTTGCTAATAAATTAGCAATTTGCCTCCGCATGGGTTCTCGTTTTTTAATTTTTCATTTCGCTGTTCTCTTCTTCTATTTTTTCATGCCATAGCACTATCATCAATTGAAATGTCATCAAAATTTTGCGTATTATTTCGTTCTGTCAAATAATTCTACGTTCAGACCCTCTCAAGACTCGAATTCGTTTTCAGTCCGGGTTTAATCAAGGTTCAATCAAGGTTTAATCAGCGTATAGTCGGGATTGAATCAGAGTTTATTCAGGATTTAGCCAGAGTTTAACCCAGGCTCTGTCAGAAGTTAGTCGGGACCATGAATCAATATGAATGAGTATTCAATGTACTAGACTTGTACCTGAGTTTAATAGAGATACAGATTTTTATATAGAAAGCTCACGACGGTATTGTGTAACTTGATAAGTAATGATGCTGTTCTCACCGTTTTTCAACTTGATTAAGAAGGCATTGAAATATACTTTGGAAAAAGTTCAGAATTTTTTCTATTTTTTTAATCATTCTGTCATAATTTTTGGGAATTTCTACATGATGAACCACTCAATTGACAATTTTTGATTACGAAAGATGAAAAAAATCCAGATAACATTCGAAAGATAGTACACCCGGGCCTTAAATCGTTTTAAGGTTAATAGTTATTGTTGCTAATAAATTAGCAATTTGCCTCCGAATGGTTTCTTTCTTTTTTAATTTTTTATTTCACTATTCTCTTCTTCTATTTTTTCATGCCATAGCACTATCATCAATTGAAATGTCATCAAAATTTTGCGTATTATTTCGTTCTGTCAAATAATTCTACGTTCAGACCCTCTCAAGACTCGAATTCGTTTTCAGTCCGGGTTTAATCAAGGTTCAATCAAGGTTTAATCAGCGTATAGTCGGGATTGAATCAGAGTTTATTCAGGATTTAGCCAGAGTTTAACCCAGGCTCTGTCAGAAGTTAGTCGGGACCATGAATCAATATGAATGAGTATTCAATGTACTAGACTTGTACCTGAGTTTAATAGAGATACAGATTTTTATATAGAAAGCTCACGACGGTATTGTGTAACTTGATAAGTAATGATGCTGTTCTCACCGTTTTTCAACTTGATTAAGAAGGCATTGAAATATACTTTGGAAAAAGTTCAGAATTTTTTCTATTTTTTTAATCATTCTGTCATAATTTTTGGGAATTTCTACATGATGAACCACTCAATTGACAATTTTTGATTACGAAAGATGAAAAAAATCCAGATAACATTCGAAAGATAGTACACCCGGGCCTTAAATCGTTTTAAGGTTAATAGTTATTGTTGCTAATAAATTAGCAATTTGCCTCCGAATGGTTTCTTTCTTTTTTAATTTTTTATTTCACTATTCTCTTCTTCTATTTTTTCATGCCATAGCACTATCATCAATTGAAATGTCATCAAAATTTTGCGTATTATTTCGTTCTGTCAAATAATTCTACGTTCAGACCCTCTCAAGACTCGAATTCGTTTTCAGTCCGGGTTTAATCAAGGTTCAATCAAGGTTTAATCAGCGTATAGTCGGGATTTAATCAGAGTTTATTCAGGATTTAGCCAGAGTTTAACCCAGGCTCTGTCAGAAGTTAGTCGGGACCATGAATCAATATGAATGAGTATTCAACGTACTAGACTGGTACCTGAGTTTAATTGAGATACAGATTTTTATATAAAAAGCTCACGACGGTATTGTGTAACTTGATAAGTAATGATGCTGTTCTCACCGTTTTTCAACTTGATTAAGAAGGCATTGAAATATACTTTGGAAAAAGTTCAGAATTTTTTCTATTTTTTTAATCATTCTGTCATAATTTTTGGGAATTTCTACATGATGAACCACTCAATTGACAATTTTTGATTACGAAAGATGAAAAAAATCCAGATAACATTCGAAAGATAGTACACCCGGGCCTTAAACCGTTTTAGCAATTCACTACTGATTTCTTAATGTGAATTTCAGGTACAGGAAGTGGATCCCTCTCGCACTCCCTAATCCGCACAGTCCGGCCCCACGGCCACTTGTACACCTTCGATTTCCACGAGCAGAGGGTCCAACTAGCAACTGAAGAATTCACTAAACACGGCTTGAGTGACCATGTGACTGTGGCCCATCGAGATGTCTGTCTAGAGGGATTCGGGGAGGATCTCAAGCACAAGGCAGACGGTGTATTCCTCGACTTGCCCCACCCCTGGTTGGTGGTGGACCATGCGGTCAGTGCCCTGAAGAAATCAGGGGGCAAATTGTGCTCCTTCTCACCCTGCATCGAACAAGTCCAACAGACTTGCCTCAAATTAGAAGCTGCTGGATTTGTGGACATTAGAACTCAGGAGTGTCTGCAGAGGGAATTGACTGTGCATTACAAACACTGTCCAAAATTGGAATTGGATTGTTTTAAACCACAGGTTTGGCTCAAGTTTCCTTTCATCGTGACGACATTAAGAGTTGTGTCTCTATTACATTTCATTCTAGCCCCAGAAAAAAATTTAGAAGTTTTATGAAAATTCAAATAACTTTTATAAATTTTTTCTGACACAAAGTCTGCACAGATATCTGTATTTTTTATGCTTTTATCCTCATTTTTGACGTGAGAGCACGTACGAAATAAATCAGTCGAAAAACTCGAAGAACTCGAATGCGATAGAAAATTCTATTGAATTTCTATTGAACTTCTACTGGAAATTGCGTTAGTTTTTGGCAAATTCTGTTGAAGAATTCCACAGCTTTACTGCGTATATTTTATCTATAGAAAATTATTAGAATTATTCTATAGAAAAAAATCCCGAGAATTTCATCTTTCTATATAATTTTTTCTGTTGAAAGATTTTCTATAGGAATTCCTCGATATGAATTTTCCAAGTTATTTTTCACTTCATTTTTTATTCTTTGTCATTAAACTTTTCAAACAAAAAAAATTGAGTCAAGAAATTTCTGCAGAGAATATCTCAATTGAATAAATTGTATAAAAAAAAATCGAATTCTGTTGGTTTTCTCATTTCTATGAAAAAACGCGCAGATAACCTGTGGAATTATTCAACCGACCCTACCAATAATTGATAGAAATTTGAATAAAAAATTAAATGGAATTTTTCTATGAATTGTTTTCGTACATCAGACGAACCATCTTAATGAATAAAAATTAATGTCTTCACTAAAGTCCCATTTCTTCTATTTTCGTAAAAAAAATCAATTTCATAATAAAATCATTTCTCCAACTCACATAATTGATAAAACTTTATAAAAAAATATTTGCATGCATTTTCATCCACAGAAATTGACTCCAGATGAAATTCAGAAGAAAAACGATGAGCAGGAGAGGATATTGACAGTCTCCCACTCATCCTCAACCCCCGGACACACAGGCTACATCACAATAGCAACTCTGCCCCCCGATTTTGCTCGTCTCATAGCCACATAACAATAAATGACGAAAAAATCCTGTAATTTTGTACAAAAAAAAACTGTTTATTCATCTCATTATGGTAATTATCCATTCAATATCACGAGTTATGTCGAGCGCAGTGCAGTCATTTCCGCCAGCAAAATAACAAGCAACACTGCATGAATTCGTGTAGAGAACGAATTTAGGGTATTACGAGTATTTACAAAAATACTGGGTGAATAAGCTGGCGTGCAGTAATTTTGAACATAATGGCACCTTAAGGTTGTCTGAGATTCAGCACTAATGGCAACAAGTATTTTCCTCCTTCCATTCAGGTCCTCATAGTCTCAGTTTTTTCAATTCAGTAGTGAAGTTGTGAAACGTAACAGAACAGAACAAGTTGATTCCTCACTTTTTGGTGAATATTAAATTATCTTGGTAATGAGGGGCATTAAGGGAAAACATCTCTGGACATTTTTTGGGGAAATTCAATTTTAAGAAATGTAAAAATGAATTTCACTTCAATTGTCGTCGTTTTTATCTCGATGACGAGGAATTTTAGAGTTGAATGTTGAGAGATATTGTTCCTAGGAAATTTCTTCGATTAAAAAAAAAAATTCTTTGACATTGGACAGATGTGGGAGTTCAATTCCATTCCACATCGTGGAAACATTTGTATTTCACTAAAATTTTAATTTCACCCAAGTTATTTTCATTAGTTAATAATGATTTCACAGAAAAATTTGAAGAGAAAATTATTTTGCTGGAGAAAAAATGGATAAACCCTCGATATGTCCCTCCAGAATTGAGTATTTCTGACATGGTGCTGATCAATGGATTGAAATTTAATAGTTATTCAAGTTGAATTTTAAATCGTAAAATGTTGAGACATTTTTTGTTGAAAATTTCATCAGCTTCAGAAATATTTTTTGAAATTAATTGAATTCCACTCCAAATTGTTCTCTAATCATCTCAATAACAATCGATTAGAAGAAAATATCAGGAGACATTTCTCTTGAGAAATTTTCTCAACTAAAAAAATTAATTCTCTGACATCGAGAGTTGTAGAAATTCAATTTCACTTCACATCATGATGAAATTTCAATTTCACTCCAAGTTATTCTCATTATTCAATAATAATGACTCCATCCAACATTCTCTTGCTGGAGAAAAAATCAACGTATTTCTGACACATTGCTGATCGATTTCAATAAAAATAAAAATTCACAGGACCAAATCTTCATAAAGAATAATTCCTGAAGAATCAAAATAATTTCAATCAATCAAACCAATCAATAACCAAAATAATTGCACAATAATTTCTCAAAAAAGACCGAATTCAAGGTTAATTTTCTTGAAAAAATAAAAATACAAATCATCTCCAGAAAATTCTCAGGAGCAAATATACCTTGAAAGCTCTCTAAAGTGCTCTATTCCCAAGATAAATAAATCTCATTTATTTATTTATTCACCTTCAATAAATAAATAAATAAATTCACCAAAAGCCAAAAATCCACTTACTCTCCCCTCCCAGCTCCCCCCCCATTACTCCACTTTATTTGGATTCCAGGTGAGATAATCCGGTTTAGTAGCAGCTTGATACTCCTTCACAAGGCACTCAACAACCTCCCTGGAGTTATCGAGTTCATCCAAATTATCCTCGAACATTTTTTCCTTCCTAAATTGCTCGAGAAAGGCCTCGCGTTTCCTGAGCTTGTCATACTGCTGCAGGGCTCGATCGAACAGGGAGGAAATATTGGTGTGATTGGCCAGCATCAGTCCCGAGACCCTGTGGGCACTCTGGATGTAGGGGGACTTCCTGGAGAGGGCGACCTGTATGCTGGCAGGTCCCCAGGGTATGAACTGGGCGAGTTTCCTCTCCCTGATCCTCTGAAGGGATTTGTGCACCTGAGTTGGATCCACTTCCCCCTGGATGATGTTCAGAATGGAGATGTAGCAGTGGGAGGCGTTTCTGTCCAGTGCTGTCGAGACCATCATGTTCTTGGGCTGGAGGAGACGTCTCATGACGTCCAGCACTGATGTCTTCCTGACGGACAGGCCCTCTTGGTCAGTTGTGAGGGGCGTGTACCCTGTCATGAGGAAGTGCAGACGTGGCGTGGGGATGAGAGGGGCTATCAGACCCACCAGGTCGTTGTTCATGTACGAGGGGTATCGCAGGGTTGTCGTGCTGACGCTCATTATTGTCGAGACGAGTTTATTTATTTGCGTGAAGCTGGGGTTCTGGATGTGCAGGCGGTCTGAGGCGATTCGGTTCAGGGCTGTGTTGTCCAGGACCACTACGCAGTCTGCACACTGCGTCAGACGTTTCAGGGTGAGGAGGGAGTTGTAGGGCTGGACTACTACGTCACTGCAATGGAATTGATTGATGAGCTGGGGGTGAAGTAGTGCGAATGCACCCCAGTCCAGTCGTTGAGTGGAACGAGTAAAAATTAATGCAAAAATCCGAGAAATAAAATTATTCATCTTTTTTATAAGGGAGAATTTTTTCCCTGAATTCTCTCTTTGATGAGTGGGAAAAGTTGATCCAAATTGTTTCTTTAATTTTTTTTTAAAGTCTATTGTTGGACTGGGGTGGCAAGGATATACATTCGAAAATATTTCACTCTTCATTGTTAATAATTGTCTGGTAATACTGATTGATGATGACAATTTTTACCTGATTTCGTCCTGATTTGGAAATACGCTGTAGGTTTCAATCAATTTTTTTGGAAATCTGTCAGCCAGTGATTCCAGCATGAATGATCCCATTCCAGATCCTGTTCCTCCAGCTATTGAATGGCACAGAACAAATCCCTACGAAAAAAAAATCACGCAATGGTTTAGAGATGATTGAAAATGCAGACGTTTGAAGAGAAGTATTATTCTGTTGTTTAGGGATTTATCTGGCTAAATTCTTAAATGATTACCTCTAGGCTATCACTGCCATCAGCCTCACGATCGAGAATGTCGAATATCTCCTCCTGCAGCTTTTCTCCCTGGTGATACCCAGAAGCCCAGTTATTTCCTGCACCACCTCCATGCTTCGAGAGGTAAATATTCTCGGGATTGTACAGCTGCAAATAAGTAACAATTCTCTCACGAATTCATATAAAACATTCCATTATAATTCATATTCTATAGAGAAAATAAATCGAATTGGATTCTTTGATGCAAGTTATTCCAATGAGGTATTTTCTCTAGAATTTCCTAGGCTTAAATTCTTCAAGTTTTTTTGTTTGATTTTTGTAAAATGAAAAGAGAAGAAAATTAATGGAAAAAACTTGGAAAATTCATGTCCTCGGGATTCTATTGAAAAAGTTTGTATAGAAATATGAAATTCCACGATTTTTTTCTATAAAAGTTTCATAGGACATTTTCTATAAAAGAAACGCGCAGTAAAGCTGTGAAATTCTTCGATAAAATCAGTTCAAAATTAATAAAACAGCAATAGAAATCCAATAAAGCTGTCTTGTGAATTTTCTAGGTTTTATTGTGAAATTATTTACCGCGTGCTACCTTTGGATGGTTATAGTTCTATTCGATTCTATTATAATTCATATTCTATAGAAAAAATCAAAAGAATGCAATTCTGTTATGCAATTTATATTATTGAGGTATTTTCTCTAGAATTTCCTTGGGTCAAATTGGAAAATAGAAGAAAATAATGAAAAAAACTTGGAAAATTCATGTTCTCCGGATTCTACTAAAAAATTTACATAGAAAGATGAAATTCCATGAATTGTTTGTATAAAAGAGTTGCACTGGACGTTTTCTATTGAAAAAACGCTATAAAGCAGCGAAATTCTTCGATAAAATCAGTAAAAAATCAGTGTAAGTTCAATAGAAATCCAATAGACTTGTCTAGGATTTTCTACAACATTTTTCCACGAGTGCTACCTTCGAATACGGTGAATTCATAATTGTGTGAATGACACGAGGCTCAAGATCGAGTAGCACAGCCCGAGGGATGTAATGCTCATCATCAGACTGATAGAAAAAAACATCTTTCCTGTCAGTTCCCTCCGTCGCAAAATCCTCGAGTATTCCCTCCGGATTGATTCCGTGCTCGGCACAGAGTCGTTTCCAGAATTCAAAGCCGACTGAAATTCAATCATTGAATATTGTTTAATAATAATATTTGGAAAGGCCGGTTGGAGAAACGTTGAAATTCAAATTGACGTGACATGAAGCATTAATTACTCACTCTGATTGCCACATTGACCGAGCTGCAGGGTTATCATTTCACACGGCATTTTTGTACTGTTATTAAACTTTCGGGGTTGATGATCACTATTATTGATTTGATGGCCTATTTGGTACTATTTTTGCTGACTTTTTTTTATTGCAATGAGGGGACAATCACTGGAAGTTTGCCTGCAATGTAATGTAATTGTTTTTGTTGAGATTTCTGGACCTCTTGCGGAGTAATATTCAATTGCACGAGACTCAGCTGGTAATGTCAATATAATATCTACCGTGATAACTCAATTTCGGCGGGAACATCCAGAAGAATAGATTATTTGAATTAAAAACAAGTGGATAATTGCGTTTTCTAGAAATGAGGATAGTCATTGTTGCTAATAAATTAGCAATTTGCTTCCGGAGGGGTTCTCTTTTTTTTTAATTCTTATTTCACTATTCTCTTCTTCTATTTTTTCATGCCATAGTCTATCATCAATTGAAATGTCATCAAAATTTTGCGTATTATTTCGTTCTGTCAAATGATTCTATATTCAGACCCTATCAAGACTCGAATTCGTTTTCAGTCCGGGTTTAATCAAGGTTCAAGGAAGGTTTAATCAGTGTATACCCGGAATTTCATCAGGGTTTATTCAGGATTTAACCAGAGTTTAACCCAGGCTCTGTCAGAAGTTAGTCGGGACCATGAATCAATATGATTCAACGTAATAGACTGGTACCTGAGTTTAATAGAGATAGGGATTTTTATATACAAGATCTATGCGCACGCTTTCGCGCGCGCTGATCTATTCATTTGTTGAAATGAAGAAATGGAACTCATTAAATTTCATTTTCTCATGAATACCTTACAAATATTGATAATGAATCGAAGAGAATTCGACTAATGATTGAAGTGAATAGCCAAGTAGAGTAAAAGAATCTATGAAGAATTTTTCATTTTCAATTAATTATCTTCATTTTTTTTTAATAATCGGTCTCCATAAAAGGACAGAATTTATTAATTTCACTGATGATATATATACATGTGATATATATATATATATTTATATATTTTATTTATACAATTTGCTCTACTCAAATTTTCCAAGTTTTTTTCATTCTATTTTTTTTCTTCTCATCAAGAAAATCAGACAAAAAAACTTGGAAAATTTAAGCGGAGCAAATTCCATAGAAAATATCTCAATAGAATAAGGTATATAGAAAAATTGAATTCTAGTGACTTTTTCTACTGAATATTTTCGATTGAACATTTCAATAGAATCGGCCAGAAACTAATAGAACAGTTCAACAGAAACTCAATAGAATTTTCTAACGAATTCGATAGGTTTTTCTATTAAATTTTTTCGTCCGTGTCCACCCATTCGTCATTGCCTACTAGAGCTACTATTTTATCATTCCGTTCGTAAGGCATTGCTCGAATATTGGAGCGACTGATTTATATGCAATCGCTGGTGTTATCGTACATACAATCCAAATTCTACTTTTCGGTTCCTAATCCCCCACCACTGATATACTGAATATCATATCGGGCCCAAGCCCAGATTTTCGCCAGTGTACCTGCAGTTGTGACTGATCCGTCTGAGTGTAAATAGTTTACGTAATCCTACAAATTCCCTCGCTGTCTCTCACCACGTGAACATCAAAAGCCGTAAAATGTCGGAGTTGACAATTGACAATGCCCTTCTTGAAAAAATTATTCGGAAATATAAGGAGGACGCTACAGTTGAGGTGGCTGCTGTGGATTACAAAGCTCTTGGTGCAAAAGGCGGTAATTACACAAGTGCAATCCAACGTATTGTTGTCAAGTACACAGTTGAAGGCGATGGGGATGACGCTGAGAAGGAGCTATCACTCTTCATGAAGTATTTGCATATCCAGGAGAGTGAGGCTGTAACAGCAATGGTAACGGATGGTCCTCATTCTGAACGATGTTATTTCGATTTAAGTTAATCTCATTCGTTAGAAAATTCGATTAAATTTCTATTAAACTTTATTTTTTTTTGGCTGATTCTATTGACATGTTCAATAGAAAGCCTTCAACAGAATGCGATTTTTCTGTATAACTTATTCTTTTCATGTATTTTCTACAGAATTTGCTCGACTCAAATTTTCCAAGTTTTTTTCATTCTATTTTTCTTTTTTTCTCATCAAGAAAATCAAACGAGAAAACTTGGAAAATTTGAGCCGAGGAAATTCTATAGAAAATATCTCAGTAGAATAAGTTGTACAGGAAAATTGAATTCTATTGACTTTTTCTACTGAATATTTTTTATTTAACATTTTAATGGAATCGGCCGAAAACTAATAAAACAGTTCAATAGAAATTCAATAGAATTTTCTAACGAATTCGATAGGTTATTCTATTAAATTTTTTCGTCCGTGTTTCCTCAACAGCTCCAAAATGTGTACCAGTACGAGATGGGGATAATGACGGAACCCCTGAAGCACATCAATCAAATGCTCACTGTAGCATATGTACCTCGTCTGTTGTACTTTCATCTGGAGGAGCCCTACTTCGTGATCTTGGAGGATCTGATGCCCCTCGGCTTCACGATGGCGAGTCGAGCCACAGGTCTAGATTTGCCGCATTCTTTAGTGGCAATCCGTGGTCTTGCAGAGTTCCACGGTAGCTCCGTGGCTGTCTACGAAAAGGTAAACAGCCATTATTATTATTTGATGCTTAGTAGCTCCGGCTACGGCTTTAGTAAGGTAAACAGCTGAGGGGCTTCGAAATCCCTCAGAGGCCAGTTCCTTTCTTCGCCAGCGGATGATTCAACGATTCATTGAATATTGCAGATGCCGGAGTATAGGGACACATTCAAACTGAGCACGCTCGACGATCCCAACCAGGCGATCTATCAATTATTCAATCACGGGCTGATTTCACTTGAGACTGCGATTTCTGGGTGGGAGGAACTTGGCCCCAGGTATGATTCTTCATTTTACGGCTCACACTGTTAAAACAATTTAACTGAATTTTCCAGAAAATGACACTGAATTGAATTTAACGGAAAAAAGTCTGAAATTTCAAGTTTCCTTGAAAATTCAAGGAAATTCCTGATTTTTCCGTGGAAGAACTATGAAGATTCCGAAATTTCCATGAATTTTCAATGTGAACATGATGATTAAATAAGAAATGGCTCTGAAATTTCAAAAAATTGAAAATTCAAGGACATTTTTGCTTGAATTTTCCTAATTTCCATTAATTTTCATGGAATAATTTAACTGGAATTTAACGTTTCCATGAATTTTCCATTGGAAAGGACATTTTTGCTTGAATTTTCCTAATTTCCATTAATTTTCATAGAAAAATTCAACTGAAATTTAAAATTTCCATGAATTTTCCACGAAAACCACGAATTTTCAATGGTAAAATTCCCTGAAATTTCAATGAAACCGTCATTTGTTTCATATTTCAAGACTAAAGCCTGGAAACTTCAGTGAAAATTTTTCAACAGTGCAATGGAACAAGACGATTATTGAATGCTGAATTATTTTATAGATATGCCGAGAAACTGCGGAGCCTCAGGAATGTACTGTTCGAAAAGTGCAAGAGGGCTTTCGGTCGTCGTGAGAATGAATTCACTGTTCTCAACCATGGAGATTGCACGCAACTGAATATGTTGTTCGCGTATGATGATAATAAAAAACCTACTGATGTTGCATTGGTGAGAAATGCACATGTATTTTAAGATAGTATACAATTGTGGTACTAGTGCGTGAAGTTTTACGTTTCCGCAAGTACGTGTAACACGTCCTATTCTTCAACACTTGTGCGGAAAACCAACACTATTTGTTTGGTTCGAATTTGAAAGTCTCAAACATGAATAATTGTTCTGCTTTCAACAGCAACGAAATATTTGGCACAAGAGGCAGATAATTCACACCAGACGGTGCCGTTTCAGGATGACAATATCTCATATAGAGGAAAATTTATCAACAAATATTTTATCCCTAAGTTACAAAATTGGTATCATATCATTATTATTGTTTCATTTAAGGGTTCATTTCAGTAGCGAAGCGGTAAACCGGGTTAAGTCGATTTTTCCTTTTGGCCATTTTTTGATGAATATCTCGAAATCTAAGAGAGATAGCAAAATTTTTCTCATGACCTTTTTTGTAACCCTCAGTTGGCTCTACAAAAAAGGTTATGACAACAATTTTTGCATCTCTTTTAGATTCCGAGATATTCGTCAAAAACTGGTCAATAGTAAAAATCGACTTAACCCGGTTTACCACTTCGCTCCTGATTTCTTGTCTGTGATTATTAGACAGCCAAAACGAAAAACTACTATCCCTTGTTTCGCATAAATCAAAGATTTATCGGGAGCAAAATAAGCATGGGAGTATCGAATAACGAAGGAGTAGTGCTAGAAATGACATTTCTTGCGTGTACAGAGAACGCAATTTTTTTTTAACTACTAAATCTATTTTCGCGACAAAAATTTCTCATTCCGGCGCACTCTCTGCATGTTTGGCACAAAAAAATCCTTATTGATAATTTTCAAAAAACTATTTTCTTGGCACAAGCAAGACTTGTTTGAGAACTTGGTCGTTTTTCTCTCAGTGTACCCCCACAAAATCACGTATGAAAAAATTCAATAGAAAACCCAGCGAATTCGCTAGAAAGTTCCAGTGAAGTTCTACAGGAATTCTAGCGGGGTTTCTACAGGATTTCTATAAAAAAATTCTATTGAAAAATTCCATTTTTTGCGCGGATTCTATTAGATATTCTCACTTTATCATGAAATGTCATCCGGAATTCTTATCGAAAGAAATTTATCCTCAATATGAGATATTCCGCGGAAAAATTAATATTGAATATTTTCCTGAATATTTTCTTCGGCAGGTGGACTTCCAAATGACCGCTTATAACTCCCCAGCAGTCGATTTACGGACCTTCATGTCAAGCAGTGTGACTCAAGATGTATATCAACACCATGAATACTCACTGCTCGAAGAGTATCACTCAGTATTATCAGAAACAATGAAGAACTTGCATTGCAAAACACCGATACCTTCTCTGGAGGAAATTGAGAAGATGTACGATGACAGGGCATTCATCAGTGTTATCTCAACATGTATTGTCTATCCAATTATCCATGCTCCAGCGTCTGACGTCCTTCCTCTCGATGACATGCTGTCCGATCGTTCGGAGGACAGTGGCAGCCGCTACGAGGAGAAACACTTCAAGGAGTTGTTGATAGCTCGTCTCATCGAGTTTGATCAGCGCGGATTGCTGGAATCGTGATGGAAAGATAAAAATTTTGAACAATTTAAAACTTACTAAAAATGAAGAAAAGAAAAATTAAAAAATAACAATGAAAAATAATTGAAAATAGATATTATAAGTTATTTAGGGAAGATAGGGAGTCTTATAACTTATAGAAAAGATGCGATCTTATCTGATGTGATATTAATAATTCCGTTGTTAAATTTTATATATATTTAATTTGATCCTGTAATTGGCCTTGCGCTGTTGGGTCTTGATGAAATAAAAGTGAAAATAAAAACTCTTTCATCAGTATGTTCATGTGCAAGGGCAACTTCAGGGACGAAAAAATTTAATAGAAAAACCTATCGAATTCCTTAGAAACTTCTATTGAATTTCTATTGAACTGGTCTGTTAGTTTTTGGCCGATTCGATTCAAATGTTCAATAGAAAATATTCAGTAGAGAAAGTCAATAGAATTCAATTTTTCTATATAACTTATTCTATTGAGATATTTTCTATAGAATTTCCTCGGCTCAAATTTTCCAAGTTTTTTCGTTTGATTTTCGTGATGAGAAGAAAATAAAAAAAAGCAAAAATAAGCAAAAATAAGCAATTAAATGAGTGAGAACGACTGAGGATTCACTGAATTGACGTTCCACGGAGTATTGGAAATACCGCCGTGTCTAGTCCCTACCGGCGACCTCGAGAATCACAGAATGTAAACAGAGGGACTGGTGACATTGACACTAAAGAATACTGTTCATCAGTCAGTTGTGGTCAGTTGGCATTCAACAGTTTTCTAATGCACTCGTGCGAATTTATGCATCATTAAATCGTGAATGAAAAGGTGTAATGCAGGATATCAATGAACATCCTACACATTTTTCAAGATTCAAGGTCAAAATACTCGCCCGTAGCATTCATCTTGACGGACTAACCAGAGATCATTCAACAGGTGAGAATGAATTATTGATAGTGTAATGGGGATTATCGGTGGATTCGGTCGTGTCAGAGATTGTTTTCTGGGTTCAGTTATTCCCTGTCATTCTTGTTTTTCCGGGAATTTATTCAAAGCATGAAGATGTTTGCGAATCGTTTTGGTAACATCATGTATGAAAAAATGCTATAGGATTTCCTGTACGATTCCCTATAGAATTTCCTATCAGATTTATGACCCTAATCCTGACACTTGTGACCGATTGGTTTCGAGTCTCAATTTTGTGTTACTTTCTATAGAAAACCCTATAGTTAATTCTATAGGAAATCCTATAGAAAATCCTATAACACGTATCAAACGTGAAAAAATTTCAGAAAATCTAGCGAATTCGCTAGACAATTCCCTTGGATTTCTACTAATTTTTGGACGATTCTACTGAAATGTTTATTAAAAAATGTTCTATAGAAAAAATCAATAGAATTCGATTTTTTATTCAACTTCGAAAAGTCAAATTTGACTTTTCGAACATTTAATAGAATCGGTCCAAAACTAGTAGAAAGTTTAATAAAAATCCAATCTAGCGAATTCACTAGTTTTCTCTATTACATTTTTTTGTGCATGAAAACATGAAGATGCTGTAAAAAACTAAATTTCACTGAATTTACTGAGCTAAAATCTACAGTTTCCTCATTTTTTTCCATGAAGTTTTGAACTCTCGATTACACAATACCTCAAATTTCCAGTGGACCTAAAATCTGATCAAAATTACCAAGAAAAGTATAGAATTGCACCGGATATTTCGGTCAAAAATTCTCAACAGTAAACCTGACATTATTTCGCCATCGAAAAATTGAATCATTTTCATTCAATTAATTCATTCCTCCAGCTGCCCTCCCCAAAGATGTCAGACGTCCCCCAATCATTCCACGAAGTCTAGTCGGTGTTCTTCCGGAATGCAACCGCCCTCAGCCACAACCAGATAACCGAAAAATTCTCAAAATTCGGTGTGATAGAGAGCATCCACCAGACAGGGACATCGAGAGGCCTCTGTTTCGTGAAATTCACGACCGAAAGAAGCGCGGAACGATGTGCATTAGCCATGAGGAACGATCCCACAGTGCAACTACAAGCATTCGACCCTAACTCTCCCAACCGAGCTTACAAGCTGCGACCTGGGTACAGCCCAGGGAGCTGCACCAAGAATAAAACAAATCCTGTGATAACAGACCTCGAGGCGTCTCCAGATGAACCAAACAGAAATGTTTCCAAGGAACCTAGGACGATCAGATCATCGAATGAACCATCTTACTATAGTATTTTGAGAGCATTGGAGGAGAAGGGACCAGAGAACAAAGCAGATAATTATCCCATGATCAGTTTGGACTACTACGAAGACATTATCGAGGCCTCGATCGATCACTTCGAGACGATTCACCCAAAAACTAGAGAGGAATCAATAAAAATACTGTCACACGTATGCAAGGACATCCCAGAGATCGTGAAGAAGGTGACGATGCTCTCAGAGGATGAAACTCCTAAACTGGAAAAATCGTTCTACGTGTTGAAGAGATCACAAGTGCAGTGGGAGGATCTCCAAGGAGTTGATGTTGAGTACGTTCCAGCTGTGGCGATTGTCGTTGGAAACATTCCAATGTCCTGTGGAGTGGAGATCTTCCTACGGATGTTCGAGGAGTATCAGCCTATCGTCGCCTCCAAGGTGAAGACGACTGCAGAGGGATTACGTTATTGTTGGATTCATTTTCGGGAAGTTTGCGATTGCGCGGCTGTTGAACAGCGTTATGATGGGGTAGAAGTCGATGGGAATTTTTTGGTTGTGCAGGGGGCCAAGATGTTGAAGGAAGAGTGAAGGCGCAGAATTGTTATGTTAGAGACTGAATCTCATCATACAATTACGAGTATTCGACCCTAGTTGTACTGCCCAGGAGCTGTACCAAGAATGAAATGAATCTTGTGATAAAAGACTTCGAGGCGTCTCCAGATGAACCAAACAGAAATGATTCCAAGAAATTTAGGACGATCAGATCATCGAATGGACCATCTTACTCTAGTATTTTGAGAGCTTTGAATGAGAAGGAACCAGAGAACGAAGCAGATAATTATCAGATAATTATTCCTTCAGTTTAGACTCCTACGAAGACATTATCGAGGCCTCGATCGATCACTTCGAGACGATTCACCCAAAAACTTGAGAAGAATCAATAAAAATGTTGCACCAATATTGTATAAACTAGAAAAATCGTTCTACGTGTTGATGAGATTACAAGTGAAGTGGGAGTGTCTCCAAAAAGTTGACCTAGGGTGGTTATATTTAGAGAATTGAAGACATTCTTTGTTTCATAATTTTTGAAAATAGGATTACTGTATTCTCAGGAGCTCAGATCTGGCTGTCGTGGTGAATTCTATCAATGTATTTTTGAAGAATCAGTCATTATTTTTATTCATTTCGGAATGAAGGCACAGCTGTGACGTCAAATATTTTCCAGCTGCTGGAAAGAGGAGGCAGAATAAATTGATTATTGATTAAATGGAAATTGCATTTTTAATTTGGAGATTGAGGAGTACCTGTTTGTGTAAGGAACACTTGGTGTTCAAAGCTTTTTTTTATTCCTAATCGTTTCTGGGATATTCCATTTGAAATAATTAAATTTTTAGAAACAAATGAACGTCACGGTTTTTGACTTGTGCTGACACTTGAAAATTTTCTCGGGACAAAAGAATCCCATCCTGTTGAAAGACTTTCTTCTCTCAGTGTGAGCACAAAATTAATTACCACGAGATTTCACGATTCTAGAAATTGAAAAGAGAATATTTCTTGCATCAAAGAAATCATCTTTGTCGAAAGTATTTTTTTCTCTCAGTATACATCTCGGTGAATCCCCGGCCACATGATACCTCGACCAATCAGAGAATCGATTCACTGACACCCCGAATTATAGGAACAGCGGAATAAATGGAACAGTAAAACCAGTATAATCTCCCCCCCAAAAACTGAAGTTTACAAATTCCGTGAACTTCAGACAACAACTTTTCCCAATTAATCGACCATTTTTCAACTGAAATAAGGCCACAGGACTATCAGGTAATTCTTGGGTCCATGAATTCAGTCCGTACGCTTCGTCTAGAGCTGTAGTTCTGTTCGCCCCCCGTTCCCCCCATTTCAATTCATCTGTCGCCCAATCAGAGGATCGATGGAAGATGAGAGAAGTTATCTGAAGAACCTCTGCGGCCATTCACATCCAAGTTGTCGGGCTTGAGAGACCTTCCATCATCGTCCCCTGCGATCTCTGAATTTTTACTGTCCAAAATGGAACTCAACTGGCTGCTGTGCAACAAATGCTTCATTCACCTGACGGAGTCAGAGCTTCCATTCTCTATGACCCAGTGTGGTCACCTGTTCTGCAGGAAATGCATCTCCAAAGGTGAGAAAACAATTAATCCATTCAATGAGTGATTGGGGGGAGGTGTTGGGACAAAGGGGGTAGCTCAATCCTCGTTGTTACAGTTGGAGATCAGTGCCCAGTCTGCAACAAAACTGGCGTCCAATCCATGTGCCTCACCACACCCCTTCCACCACTGATCGCGCCCATGTTCGAGGACATTCTTACATGGGCAGAGAGATTGCCATTGGCAGCTAAATTCCAGAAGTTTCAGTTGAATGTTCTGGTGTATCGTCAGCAGGAACTGGTAATCAATGGCTTTATCTATGTCTGTGCAAGAAATGACTGACGTATACAAAAATTTCGGAAAAAAACCTAGTGAATTGCTAGACAATTGTATTGGATTTCTATTTAAATTATGTTTTATTCACTGAGTCAAATCTTGAGCACTTCTATTTTTTCCAGTTCATGTACGTCTTTTCAATCTTTAGAGAGAATTGGATTTCTATTCAATCTATCGATTTTTGGCCAACTCTATTGAAATGTTCAATAGAAAATAGTTTGTAGAAAACATCAATAGAATTCGATTTTTCTATACAAGTTATTCTATTGAGATATTTTCTATAGAATTTTCTCGACTCAAATTTTCTAAGTTTTTTTCATTCTATGCTTCGTTTATTTTCATCAAGAAAATCATACAAAAACTTGGAAAATTAGAACTGACGAAATTCCATAGAAAAATCGAACTCTTGTTTTTTTCTACAGAATATTTTCTATTGAACATTTCAATAGAATCGGCCAAAAACTAATAGAAAGGTTAATAGAAATCCAATGGAACTGTCTAGCGAATTCGCTAGCTTTTTCTATAAAATTTTATGAAACGTGATAAATAGGTTTATCTTCCTAAATTTCCAAGATTCCTTTTCTGAAATGCAATAACCAGTTTTACCTTCTCAGTACAAGACTTTTTAGAATCACGAGTTTTTAAAAGTCAAGTAATTAGTAAAGTCAGTAATTAGAAATTTTGTTCTTCCCAATCGTTCGATGAAGTCCAAAAATAGACGAGGATTGATTAATTTACGGAGTTAATACTAATGTTGAGATTCTCAATTCTCCAGGCTAAAAAGTACTTGCAACTGAAGACTGCGTATTGGCAAATAAGTAAGCAATTGGGGAAATTGAATCAGGCGTACAACGCAGTGAAGACAGACTACGCTGACATGATTGCCCACAGCAACGCTCGAGGCCAGTCCTTCTTCAAGGACCCTCCGAGGAACACTCGAGTGACATTTGCCAAGCAGAATATGATATTTAGTAGCAATCAGTCAGACCCTCGAAATATGTAAGTATCTTCGTTCATTTTTATTCAAGATATTACGGGCCATTCAAATATATTACTATTAATATAGTCCTAGATGGACCCTTGTATATTCCGTCTGAAAATCTACGACCCCCCCCCCTATTATGGCAATTTTTTTAGTTTTTTCGTAAAATTGAAATTGAAAAGAAAAATTTAAAATCGAAAGAAGAAAGAGAAATCAATCGATTAATTGAGCAATTAAATCTTCATGCGATGCTGTTTGACCAATCCGCAACTTATTAAATTGTGGCCATCACAGCCCTCCGGAATGATCCTTTGGGAATCTTTGCGATAATTTGAAAGAATGATGAAGAAAAATTAGGTGAATTTTCCGGAAATAGACCTTGAATTCGATTTAAGGAGAAAAAGTCAATGGAATTTCAAGTTCCTCTGAAAACTTAAGTAAAGGTCCAATTTGTTACCGGCAAATAGGCGAAAATTCCACAATTCACATGAATTTTCCAGTAAAATGAATATTCCCTACCCAATCCCCTTGAATTTTCATGGAATTCCTTCAAAATTCTTGGAATTCCATGAATTTTTAAAAGAATTCCCTGAAAATTCAGAGAAATCCGGAATTCAAAGGGAGATTCCTCTGAATTTTCCTGATTTTTCATTAATTTTCCTGAAACAACTAAACTGAAATTTACAGTTTCCACGGATTATTCCACGAAATTATGAATTTTCAAAGACAAATCCCTTAAAATTTCAGTGGAACTGTTACTTGTTAGAAATTTCCAAGACTTACCAGTAATTTCAGCAAAAAATGTTCAACTGTTTCAATTGGAAAAATGGTTTTCTAATACTCTACATTCTGTAATTTCCCCAATTTTTCAAATTTATTGGTGTTGCCGCAGGTTTCGCCCAAGTTCTGGCAACGAGTCTGAAGACTCAAACGTCTCAGGCCCCCCAATCCGAAGACTGCCTACTCCAAGGACCCCTGATGGTGTATTTCTCATGCCCACAGCAACAAGAATTCCCAGATCTGCTGGCACGTCTACTTCTAGCTCTAGAATGTCCACTCCGATGTCACTGGACTCTGATCAGCTTGGCAGGGGGTATGGCAGTGATACGAACGCCTACTCCCAGCGTTGAAGCTGAGAGGGTCAGTGCTAAAAAAACACGAATCAATCCATTTCATTCCATTGCCAAAATCCTATAATCCAAAAATTCGACACGTTTAAACTATTGAGTGATTTAATTTTTTACGATTAACGAAGTATTTCTTTACAATTTATCTTATCTTACTTATCTGCGCAAAAGATTTCTTCTATGTTTTCCACGTATGAAAAAAATCGTGAGAAAGAGCCTTCGTCTTTGTGAGGAATTTTATTAAATTTTTTTGTATTATTTTTTTTGTCAAAAATCATAAATTTGTCTGAATAATATTTGATAGAAAGAAGTGAAGAAATGATGAAGAAATGAAGACATTGCGAAGACCAAGAATAAAAACTTGGAAAATTCGGGTTAATTGCGAAATTAAGATCGATAGAGCTCTTTCTATGAAATATCAGTTGATAAATTGGACAGGAAAATGAGATGATTTTCAGTTGAAATCGAAAAAGAATACAATATCAACAGAACTTCAATAGAAGACTGTCTGTTGAATTTTCCCTTTCATACGTGTTATATATTTGAGTTCAAGTAATTTCTACGTCACGATTCTTGTAGCAATTGTTGCAAGGATTCAACTTGTCATCAAATGACTTCAGAGCGGACTTTCATGAGGTATGGACATTCCCCCATGGACGTAAGAATATTAATTAGTCTTTCATGTTTCAATCTAAACAATTTTTAAGCTCCCGATATAAATGAAATCACGTAATCACTTAATTTAACGTAACTCCCATGAGAGTTATGTTATTTTCTTGTAAAATAATTCTTTAAATTCGTTAATTTTTCTGGCTGTGTTTTCTGATGAAATTTTCAAACACCAGTCATTTAATGTAGCCCAAACCACTGTGCTATCAATTGTACTAAAATTATGAATAAATAAATACAAAATTTCACACAAATATTTAAATTCATTTTCGTAATAAAAAAGACATCCTTTTTAGACCACATTTAATTACTCTAACACAAAAAATTGTTAACTTAAATTTGAGTAATTACAAAACTTCCCTTCGGAAGCGAAAAAATTTCTCATAAATATTTGCATTTATTTTCCTAGATGTGTACAATTATAATATGACTAATAAAAAATAAGTGGGTAATTGCATTGTTTATAAGTGATGAGTATAGTTATTGCTGCGAAATACTACTTGTCACCGTCGACAGCTTAAAAACCACAAAAATTATCAACAGAACACGCATGAAAAAATTTAATAGAAAACCTAGTAAATTCGCTAGAAGATTCTATAGAAATTCTATAGGATTTCTATTGGAATTCTATTGACAAATTCTCCTTACTTTATGCGCTGATTCTATTACATATTTAATAAAAAAAGTCAACATATTTTAAACTTCTGTTCGAATTTTTTTCTTGAGATTTTTCTGTTAGAATTATTGGGCACAAATAAACAGAAAATAAATAGATAAATAAAAGTGTTATAAATTTTTTTTTATAGAAAAAATCTCAAGAGAAAAATTCCAACAGAAATTCGAAATCTACCGACTTTTTCTTATCGAATATCCAACAGAATCCGCGCAAAAAAACAAATCGAATTTTTCAATAAAATTCCAATAGAAATCCTATAGAAACCCCATAGAATTCCCCCAGAATTTTCTAGCGAATTCGCTAGGTTTTCTATTGAATTTTTTTATGCGTGAAGTTACTGCAGGTTTTAGAAACAGTCACTGCATCAATCAATCATATTATCAAGAATCCACTGAACGTAATGAGCAACTCTAGTGTAAATCCCTGGTGAACCTTCGACTCCACAGCTCGCATGTCCATAACTGACGATTCCGTACTGCACGAAACTTGGCCTTTTACCGTACATTCCGATGGCCTGAAGTGGTCCCCCACTGTCTCCAGAGCAGGAGTCCTTATCCCTGGCACCACCGGCGCACAACTGCCTCTGCGAGATGACGACATTCTTATTTTGTCTGTAAAGCTTCTGGCATAATTCGTTGGTGAGAATTGACAGAGTTACTTTTTGCAGTCTCGTGCTGCTAGTCCCATGCTCTGTCGCACCCCAGCCCGTCACTACTGCATGGCTCGGGGTCCTCAGAATGCCGGAGGAACTCGGGGGATCCAGAGGCAAACAGATGGGTCTGATGGTGCCAGAACGAATGTCAACGGAACTTCGCAATTTTACCAGAGCAATGTCGTTCTGGAATGTCTGCTGGGAGTAGTTTTCGTGGGGCTTCGTATCTTCTACTAGAAACTCTTGGTACTTCCCGATGCAGTGGCCTTCGCTGTCGCAGTCCTCTTCAGCGCTCATGTCGTATTCTCCAAGTCTTACTTTTGTAAGTTTTATCCCTGCGGTGAATGAATGAAAGAGGTTTTATGCTGGAGTTCATGCTTAAGAGTTGGGTGATTACAGATTGGGTTTTTTTTTGTCATTTCAAGTACGCTCTGTCTAGTATTTATTTGGAGGATATCCAGGTATCTTTTGCGGGTTGGTACAGATCACACTACAGATTCAACCATTTTCAATCCTCAAATTTTGAAAATTTTGAAAAAAATCGTGAATATTCAGCGTTATTCAAACAACATTTTGCACAGAATTATATATTTTTTCAACATTCGTTGCTTATAAATAAATCATTGGACTTCTTTAAACTTTCCGAAACCTTATGAACTTTTTTTTTAGGCATCAAGTCGATTTATGGTAACATTCTGAATATGAATACATTTGTTACGATTCCGAGCAAATTATTTTATTTGTAGAAAATGCTCGTAATTAACAAAAATTTCTATTTTTTAATTATTTCGACAATCTTTCCCCGAAAGTAAACTATCTAATTTTTTCGGATTTTTTACATTTTTTTTAACGGTCCAATATCGACATTCAAATTCAGACCAACAAAGTTTAAATGAAAAAATCATTGTAAAATGTCCGGAATATTTTGACCCTTACGTTTTGACCTTTATATTTTAAACCTCATATGTTGTCCCTCACATTTTGACGCTTAGATTTTAACGTTTATATTTCAACCCTTACATTTTAACCCTTCGATTTTGACCCTTAGATTATGACTCTTAGGTTTTGACCCTCATATTTTGACCCTTATATTTTTACCCTTATATTTTGACCCTTAGGTTTTGACCCTTACATTTTGACGCTTAGATTTTGACCTTTGGATATTGACCCTTATATTTTAACCCTTATAATTTGGCCCTCATATTTTGACCTTTTGACCTCTGTATGACCAGACTAAATATAACATGAAATAAATAGGAAAAATTCTCACCAGGCGATATAGCAGTCACACAATGAGCAGCAGTGAGCACGTACTTCTCACTAATCAGGCTCCCCCCACACCTGTAGTCAACTCCTCTCCTCACCACCTCGTACCCCAGCAGTGCCATCCAGGGAAACTCATGGATCCCCGTGTCATTCCCCCCAAAAATTCTGGCCTCTGGGACTGGTCCGCACGACTCATGCGGCAGAAGTCTCGTCTTCAGACTCTTCTTCCCAGGAATCCGTTGAATAACACTCTCCGCAATCCCCTCGGACGTTCCAGAATTTCTCTCCAAATTCGACTGCTTGATGACACAGCAGACCCTGAAGTCAGGATCCCGCAGGCCCCCGGGGCCACAGCGAGCAATCTCCAACAATTTCTCATGCATTGGGAAAAGGGGATCCTGTCTGTGAAGTTTCTTCAAATCCTCGCAATCATCTATTCTGATGCATCTGCCCATTCTTCCCCAAGGGGTTAGACAATGCTCCCCTGGAGATGATGGAGTTTCCACTGAAGTTATTTCTTCTTTTTCTTCTTCTTCTGTTTCGTCTTCTTCAATCTCACAACAAACTTTGGGATAATTACCCTCATCTCCACATTTTGCCCGACGAAGATGATCACGAATTTCTTGAGTCAAAGGTGTCTTCTGCAAGAGCATCACCATCCTCTGGCATTTTTTTATGTTCACGCAATTCCCTTTTCTCCCAGATGAAGAAATACAGCTGTCCCCCGTGTTAGTTTTCCCTATTCCAGGGGATTCATTGACCTCGGGGAAGTGGATCTCCTCCGGAGCCACTCCATCCTCGATCTCACAACAAACTTTCGGATCATTACCCTCATCTCCACATTTTGCCTGATGCAAATGATTACGAATTTCTTGAGTCAAAGGTGTCTCCTGGAGGAGCTTCACCATCCTCTGGCATTTTTTTATGTTCACGCAATTCCCTTTTCTCCCAGATGAAGAAATACAGCTGTCCCCCGTGTTAGTTTTCCCTATTCCAGGGGATTCATTGACCTCGGGGAAGTGGATCTCCTCCGGAGTCACTCCATCCTCGATCTCACAACAAACTTTCGGATCATTACCCTCATCTCCACATTTTGCCTGATGCAAATGATTACGAATTTCTTGAGTCAAAGGTGTCTCCTGGAGGAGCTTCACCATCCTCTGGCATTTTTTTATGTTCACGCAATTCCCTTTTCTCCCAGATGAAGAAATACAGCTGTCCCCCGTGTTAGTTTTCCCTATTCCAGGGGATTCATTGACCTCGGGGAAGTGGATCTCCTCCGGAGTCACTCCATCCTCGATCTCACAACAAACTTTCGGATCATTACCCTCATCTCCACATTTTGCCTGATGCAAATGATTACGAATTTCTTGAGTCAAAGGTGTCTCCTGGAGGAGCTTCACCATCCTCTGGCATTTTTTTATGTTCACACAATTCCCTTTTCTCCCAGATGAAGAAATACAGCTGTCCCCCGTGTTAGTTTTCCCTATTCCAGGGGATTCATTGACCTCGGGGAAGTGGATCTCCTCCGGAGTCACTCCATCCTCGATCTCACAACAAACTTTCGGATCATTACCCTCATCTCCACATTTTGCCTGATGCAAATGATTACGAATTTCTTGAGTCAAAGGTGTCTCCTGGAGGAGCTTCACCATCCTCTGGCATTTTTTTATGTTCACACAATTCCCTTTTCTCCCAGATGAAGAAATACAGCTGTCCCCCGTGTTAGTTTTCCCTATTCCATGGGATTCATTGACCTCGGGGAAGTGGATCTCCTCCGGAGTCACTCCATCCTCGATCTCACAACAAACTTTCGGATGAATGCCCTCGAAGCCACAATGTGAGCGATGCAAATAGCTCCGATTATCTTCAGTCAACGGTCTTTTGCTCAAGACATCCATCATTTTGGCGCATTTTTTTATGATTACGCAGTTGCCTTCTCTATTTGATAATGAAGTACAGGTGTCGTTGGGGTCATCACGAGGATCTGGGGACTCAGTTGTAAAGTTTATGGTATTCTCCGATTGATGATGAATTTGGCCTGGGGCACAACAGACTTTGTAGTTGGAGCCGTCGATTCCACAGAACGCCTGATGCAGCATGATTTCATGCGTCAGGGGGAGTGGATTTATGTCGAGCATTTTGCGCATTTTGGGGCAGTCTTTTATGTTGACGCACTCGCCGATGTGTCCCCACGGGGTCAAACAATCCCCCAGGGCTTCGTGAGTTATTAACAAAGTGAGAATTGATATTGCTGATATGACGAAATTATGATGATGTTTGTTAGACATGATGATGATACTGAGGATTCTCCGCAATTGCGGTCAAAAATATTTGTTTGGCTCCCTCAGCGTGATGAATACGTGAATCGTTCTTCCGTTTTGATCTTGCGTCAATGAATGACCTTCTAGGACTGAACAATAAGGTCAGTGGCTTCTAATCGGCAGGTGCGCCACCTAGACCTTCTCCAGATTTCTTGGAAAACACCTGATGTGGCCATTGGCGCCGCTGACGTCATCACAACAGTGGAGTCGACTCCAGTGGACTGGTTTGGTTTTTTTGGATTTTTCATGTTGGAAAAAATTGTTTTGTTAAAAAAAATTCATGTTAAAAAAAATTTGTTACGTGTCCGTCCACGTTATATCTCACTCAACAATCATTTAGTGATGCGTGATTGATGTGAGGGAATAACTACAATGGACAACTGCAACACTGCAGCCTAGTTCTTACCGATACGTAACGGTACACGGCAAGTGTAGGACTGAATATTAAGATACATCCGTTATTTCCACTTTCAACATTCAAGGGCATTGGGATGATTGAGTTAGGGGATTCTTGCTGCATATTCTTCTATTCACCCGCAAAGTTTCGTTCGTTTTTTGCAGAAATAAGGTATTCATTTCTGAAGAGGAAGGAGAAGAACGTGAACAGCAGAGGGGCGCGTTACGCAAATGCCAACGGTTGATATTGTTGGCATCTACTCCCGCACCGTACCCTCCACCGATAGATCTCCGATATATCGAAAAAAAGTCGATAAAAAATGTTTGATTCGGGAATAATTAATTCTCAACTTTATATTTAACAATATTTTTTTATTGGGGTGGATGTCCCAGTTACTGAATCTCTAAGGAAGGGTCGACGCAAAAATATTTATAAAAAAATTGTTTGCATATTTTTCATAGATCAGAAAAATGATTAATCCTTCAGAATGAAAACTTCGCTATTTCCCTTAAGGCCCGGGTGTACTATCTTTCGAACGTTATCTCGATGTTTTTTTTCATCTTTCTTCACCTGAAATTGGCAATTGAGTCCTGCATCATGCAGAAGTTTTGAAAAATTATGAATGAATAATAAAAAAAGTAGAGGAAATTCTTTATTTTTTCAAAGAGCATTTTTAATTTATATTCAGAATAAGTTGAATAACAAGAAATTGAAAAATGTATCTGATTTACGGTGACAAATGGCGGCCTGTCACACAATATCGTGCAGGGGGAAGACTGATTTCGTAAATCTTTTCCCACACTACACAGAGACATTTATTACGGAAAAGGCTCTTTGAAAAAAGTTGTAATATTTTGGAGAATTTTTTAATCACACTTTTATCACATAAAAATGGCAGATGACTACATACCACTGTTTTGAAAATTGAGATACCTAGCTGTCACTTCCCATGAGGAGTTAGTGTTTTGTTATCCACCATGGAAAATGACAGCTAATAGATAATTTGCCACAGCGAACCAGATATTTGTAATTTGCACTTTTTTCAACTCATTCTGAATCTTAATTAAAAAAGCTCTTTGAAAAAAATCAGAATTTTTTCTGTTTTTAAATCATTCCATCATACTTTTTGGGAATTTCTACATGATGTACCACTCAATTGACACTTATAGATTACGAAAGATAAAAAAAATCCAGATAACATACGAAAGATAGTACACCTGGGCCTTAAATTCGGAGATATTTCCCGAAAAGTCGACAAGAATTATTGTACCGCTTCCCTACCAAATTCCTTCAGAAAATAAAATATTCATAATATTCGTAACTGATAATTAATTGACGTGAGGAAAGTTTCCTCTCGTCGCACCTCTAAATTAAAAAAACTACGTGAAGTCCGTTTTGCAAAATATTTAATTATGAATGGATATAGCCAATCGGATAACCGATGATTCAATTACTGGGCCAGAGTCAGCTACTGCGAGGAAAAGTAAAAATACTGGAATGGGAAATGATTAGAGTCGTTCTCCGATCCATAGAGTTTTATTCGATTTCATTTGATCATTCTATTTCATAAAAAAAAATATATATCAACAATGTGGCACGAGGCTTCCAATTCATTATCCATGATTACAAAGCAGACGAAGAAGAATACCAGTGAATACAAACGAGGAGACAGACTGAATTGTTTCAAGCTTAATAGTGAGTAATATTTTTCTTAACGAAGCAGTGTGTGACGATGACATCAGCAGTGAAGTGGTAAAATGTAACTGGACAGAACTGGCGACTGTTTACATTCATCGCGAGGAGAATTTACTAAAAATTAAAGCCTCTGCAGAATTTTTAACAGAAATCAAGTAAAAAATGCAATTATTTTACTGGAAACTTCATGAACATTAGAAAAATTTCCGTAAACATTAAAATCACGTTACAATACGAAAAAAACAGAACATTAAATTCATATGAAAATATTTCAATTTCAACCAACAATTATTCAACTTAAAAACTTAAAAACTTTCTTACTAAACTCATTGCATTTTTTTAATGGAAAATTTGGTAAAAATTCTTCAAAGGCCATTAAGCTATCTGATTATTCCAATTCGGGGGATTTTTAAACTGTTTTTGTGTCCTTGAATATTCAATTATCTCGATAATGAGTAGTTTCAGGAGAAAATGTCAACAAATTGTTGTTGATGGGACATTTATTCAGCCAGAAAAAATGATCCCTTGACATTTTCTCCTGAAATCACTCGTTTCCGAGATGAATGAACAATTCACAAAATTAATTGCACAGATTTGACTGATTACAAATCAATTCGTAATGTCTTCTGCTGAATTATCTCGATAACACAATTAGAGATAAATTATTGAGCGATTTTTTCGCTGTATATTTCATCTTTAGTCTCTTGAATCTTTCTCCTAAGATCAATGAGTTTGATTTAAAAGCAGAATTGAAAAACTTTCGATCTACAGAACATCGATAGGAGAAATGTCCGAAGATATTTTCCTTTAAAAATTCACAACTCCTATATTTTCTTGTGAAATCACTTGATCTCTCCACGAACGCCCAATCAACAAAAAATGCTGAATTCATCTCATTACAAATTGATTCTTGCAATGTTGTAAGTAAAAACAAAATAATCGAAAACCGACCGATTTTAGCAGAAAATTCAAACGCCATTCTTCATTAAAAATTTATTCAGCTGCAAAAAGTATCTTCTCCTAAAATCACTTGACTTCGAGATCACTTGGAGACCATCGCCCAATCGACAATGTAAATTAAATTGAGAACAACGAGAATCTTTCACTCATTACGTTTTTACCACATCACCAGTGAAACGACAATTCAGCTAAAAATTAAATAACACCCGATAATCCATGCTGAATAAAATGCTGAGTGGTACAAATCCGTAAAAATGTATTTTCTCCAAACCACGACGTGTTCTGTTATCAATATTGATTGGATATCGCCATCCGCAGGAGCAAATCTTCCCGTCGAGGATTCCCATGGAAATTCTAGCCATGATCGCCAGTGAATCCATCAAAAATGGGCGTTTCTTCGCACTGATGGCCACATATTCAGGAATAGATTCGTCCTTTCGAATTAGCCCGACGTTGAAAGCATGAAGTTTTGAGTGTAATCATACTCGATCGTTGGAATAACCGATTGCACGAATTTCAGAAAAATTATAAGGTACATGTGCACGCCCAGCTCACCACCACCTTCCATCACTGTTTCTATGATTTTCTTCATCACCTCTGCATGTCTGGATAAACAAAGAGGAAAATTTGCATCAGAAATGTACAAAACCACCTCATCAACCCCATAATTCTATTTTCTTCAGTCAGTTTCCATGTTCAATGGCACGAGAGAAACCAAAAATCCAACATTGATTTTGCACTTTCAAATGTAGGTTTCGTTGAGGGCTATACGTCGACATTAATTAAAATTCAATTTCAAAATTTATTCATCATTTTTTGGAATTCTCGATTTTTTTCAAAATTCGTTGTACCACGATAATTAAGAAAATATTCTAATGGTTTATTGTAATTTAATTGAACAAAATAATATAAACCGATAAGTGATCTACGAAAAATGGAAATTATGTGCGAAATGACCATTTAGAAATATATTGCTAATTTATTAGCAAAAATAGACATGCCAACTGAAATGGTCAGGCTAAAATTCATTTTCCCTTTGAAAAATTGCATTTCAATTGTTTTCATTGAGAAATCAACATTTCGAGAATGGAAACCGCGGAAACTGCCGCCTGAAGTTGGGCTCCTGAGGGAAAAGAAGATTTAGGTGGACTATTTATGAAGAAAAACGCAATTTTCATAAAGACAGTTTCAGTGCTAAGTGTCGAGGAGTCAATTTCACGTATTTATATACCATGTACGTAAAATTCAGTGCATAATTCACCTGCAAGGATGAACAGACGCCATCGGTGGGCCAGGTAAATGCGGATGAGTCTCCATAGTCACTGTCTTTTTCGCATGATCCTGACTGACATCTTCATACATCTCCTCCACTGTCAGCGGCTTCTGATTCTCATCGTAGCCGAATAACCACAGCCTCGGGGTCTGATAATATTTGTCATAAGTTATGTGTAAATCGTACGTTCTCGTGTGGATTATTTCGCCCTCTGGAAAATTGTCACGTTTCTCTTTCACAGGTTTTTTAGTGCTCTCTGCTGCATACTGAAAATAAATAAAAAATTATAAAACATCACAAAGTAACAAACATTACATTAATTTTAGTTGGAAAAGGTCCGAATGATGTAAACTCACTTCGATTTGAGTGAGTTTTGAATTAATTCAAGGAAAATTGAAAAATTTACCTCAAGATCTTTTCACAGAGCAAAATTAATTCATAATTTTTTTTAAATTCAATTTGTATTATTAATAAAAAATTACCTTGTCTTGCTCCTCGAGCATTCCACTGACTTCGAAAGCCTCCATGTCAGCAGCATCCTCATCATCTTCGTCGTCATCGTCTGCATTATCCTCTCCAGGGGCTCCCGATGTTGGCGACTGGTTATCATCCAGTGTCATTTCAGATACTTTCTCATCGATACCTCCAATACTGGTGTCATAGTGGTGGGTATCGACCCACCCACCCTCTGGGTCATCAGCCTCAATTATACGTTCTTGGTCATCACAGTATTCAATCTATAAAGAATTTCCAGTTTAATGTTTTTTAACTACTGCATTGAACAAGACGAGAATTAAAAAAAATAAACGTCAGTTTTGTTGTTCATTTCCATATTATTTCCGCAAATCTTCTGGTGGGATTAAGGGAAAATTCGCGGAAATAATATGGAGACGAACAACAAATTAACTAATTAATAAATTAACTAATTAATAAATTAACTAATTAATAAATTAACTAATTAACTACTTAATTAATTTTCTGGTGGGATTAAGGGAAAATTTGCGGAAATAATATAGAAACGTTCGTTAATTTGTCATTGTTGTAATTATGACAAATAAAAATCGTTGATAAAAATCGTTTTTTGCAGATATTTTTAGCAGTTAAACTGAACAACTCAAAAACAATTGGTCCGATTTCAATTTTTATTATTTTTGTTGGGATCAAGGGAAAATTTGGAGAAATAATATGACAACGTTCGTTAATTTGTCATTATTGCGATTATGACAAATTAACTTTGACAAAATTAATTATGACAAATTAATTTTGTTGGGATCAAAGGAAAATTTGGAGAAATAATATGACAACGTTCGTTAATTTGTCATAATTGCAACAATGCCAAATTAATGAACATTGTCATATTATTGCTCCAAATTTTCCCGTGATTCCAACAAAACAATAAAAATTGAAATCCAACTAATAGTTTTTGAGTTGTTCAGTTCAACTACTAAAGATATCTGCAAAAAACGATTTTTGCGATATTTTCGAATTCTGTTGACTTTTTCTGTTGAATGTTTTCTATTGAACATGTCAATAGAATCAGCCAAAAACTAATAGAAAGTTTAATAGAAATTCAATAGAATTTTCCTACGAATTCGATGGGTTTTTCTATTAAATTTTTTCGTGCGTGTGTTCATGTACTCATCATTAAAATGTCTTAAAAATCGATTTCTTCGAAAAACGTTCCTCTTAAATATCCTAAATTCCATTGTTGACTTTAAAAAATCCTCAATCTTCGGAGGGAAAATTCGGAGGAACAAATTATCACCTGTTTGCACCTCCGACTGCAGGGCACATTCCTCGTAAGCAAGAACTGCTTCTTCTTAGGTAAATACGACTTAGTTCTGTCCTCGTCCCCCGTGGCCCACTGCCAGGTGGGACAATGGTGCACCAGATGATCACCAGCAGCAACGAACTCCTCGGGTGTCAGCACGCCAGTCTCCCTGAATTTGCTCTCCTGGAAGAGCCCGAATCGTTTAAATGCAGAATTAATTGAATGCATAATATCACTTACGAAAAAATTTCATTGAAAAACAAAAAAAATCTGCAAGCTTTACTCGAGTCTTTTAATGGAAATGTTCAAGTAAAAATATTTAATAGCGAAAATCAATAAAAAATCCACAGAATTTAACATTTCTATACAACTTTTTCTTTTGAGACGCTTTCTGTGTGAAATTTTCGACATAAAGTTTCTCTTTTCTGGACATAAGTTTTTTCCTCTTACAAAAAAAATCCAACAGAAAAATTTGAAGAATTATTTCGAGGAATTTCCATAGACAATGTATTAATAAAAAAATTGTAAAGAAAAATCTATAGCTTTCTATAGAATTGTTTCGATTGAATATTTTTGTTGGAATAAAACGGGCATAAAAGCAGCGGAATTTTTCAGTATAATCGGCGAAGCAATAATAAAAATTTGAATAGAGAATACTCATTGAATACTCATGTAAAAAAAATAAAAACAATCAAAAAATAACAAATAACAAATTTTATAACAAATATTTATAACAAATTTGCATTGGGAAATTCCTACAGAAAAGTCCTGAACAAAATAAATTGTTTACGAAGTAAAATCCGATTTAATTTCTTGATTGTTATAAAATTGTCTCGATTGAACATTTCTCTTTCAAAAAACCCACAGAAAAGTGATGAAATTTCTCAATAAAACTCACGAAAAAATACCAGAAATTTCGTTAGAAATTCAATAAAATTTCCCAACGAATTCGCAAATTTTTTCCGCGAAATATTTTCGTTCGCGATAAATAGTGATGATTTACCTTGAGTACAGGGGTTAGGTACTCGGCGACTCCTAGAGCAGTGCCTTTGACTGAATTGATGACACTCTGCATATTCCCCCGAGCCTATTAAAATCACTCTACGGATCTACCGAACGAACGACCGCCTAAAATTGCCTCTTCACTAGTCTCAGAAGATGCTAAAAATCATAACGAGACTTTTGACACTCCCGGAGCCAGCGAAATCGATCTGTGTGTACGAGACAACGCGACATGGATACAACGGCTCAGGGTGTTGGTGATTCACCAGAGGAAGGACATAATGACGAGTAATTAATTAACACGCAACGAAAATGTATTAGCAGTTGGGTGGGAGAGGCACCGGATAATGTCCCGACTCCTCGCGTCAGTCGAAAATTCGGTTGTTAGACGCTGATTAGATAATGATTCCAATCACAGGAAACTACCTCAAATTGAATACATGGGGTGTACGTGTGTGAGTTATTGCCATTTCGGTGATGTCAGCGGGGCGACAGCCAATGAGAGGGGAGCGGACAGTTCGGTGGGATTTGAGTTTGATAATGGCCAGTGTTTAGGTTTTTTTTCATTTAAAATCGCTGACCTTGGGGTTTTGGAGCGACTCGTCAGGTGATTGGGATTTGGAGCATTCAGTGCGGTCTATTGTAGCAGTTTTCCCTTGAGTGTGGGCATGAGATGTTGGAATGGTGAGCAATTTCATTTTTGGGAATTAGTTAAGGTAATGAATAGGGGTGGCTGGACTAAAAAGAAATTTGTGAATCGAGATCGCGCACTTTCAGACCGAAGAAACATTTTCTTGATAAAATGATCCTACTGTTACGTATTTGTTCAAATGGCTTGTATTCTTGTATATCGTGTTTCAAACTTAAATAATAAATGTTCAATTTATTGCGCGCAAATAAACAATTCACGAAAAACACAAAATCCATAAAAGGCGGAGCGCTCGTATATAGGAGGGGAGAGTGGGGTAAAATGGAGACTTTTGACTTTTTTTTAAATGTTAATGACAGGTTGAATTATTGATGAAATGTTTTTTTTTAATTTTTCGATAAAAAGAACAATTCTTTTCCTTTGTGTTGAGCCTAAACTGATTTCAATTGATAAATCTGTCTCTGAGTTATAAATATTTATTTAAATATCAAAAGTGTCCATTTTACCCCACTCTCCCCTATATTTCGAGACGATACTGTAAAAGTGTTTTTCATCACGCTGTGCGAAAAAGTAACTTTTTAGGCACGCGAAGCGTGTCTCAAACGTCCCTTTTCCACACATTGTAATGAAAAATATTGTTCGATACTCGTGGGAAAAGTATTTCGTCTCGCCTTCGGCTCGTGCTATAAACCTCCCACGAGCCAAAAAAACACTTTTCCGCACTCGTAACGAAATATACTATTTCGGACCCTATTTTTTCTGACGAGTGTGTCAAATTTTCTGGCAAATATGCATGCAGAAATCGCCTTCGGCTCATCCTGCGACCGCATATTCACCAGAAAAATTGTTTTCACCACAGACGAAAAATACTATTCACATACAGACTGCTATCTAAGATTTTTCCATAAACACAATCCCTTATAATAAAGGTGAGCAGCAAGGCAAGAGAAATGGCGAGCAGGAACAAGAAAATGTTGACGACCAGTACTCCTCTGGGATCCACTCAAGCCAATCCCGATTCTGATGCATCCGTAAGTTCTATAGAATCAATTCACAGCGCAACGAGATCGGGCGAGAAGAGGAGAATTCCATGGCTGGAAAGATATGCGCCTTTTTCAAAAAAAAGGATCGCCGAAAATCGGAAGGTATTGAGGGCTGATTCTTCGGACGAGGCGCCCAAAAGGAAGGGCATAGATCCCGGAATGAGTAAACTTCTAATAAAGTGGACGAGAATGACACGAAAGGGAACAAAATCAGTAGGAGGAAAGGAGAAACTAAAAATGAAGGGAAGTCAACGTAAGGGTGAGTAATTTCCTTACAGAGTTCAAAATAAGGGTCACGGGGGTCAAAATAATGATTATGAGGGTCAGAATAAGGGTCACGAAGGTCAAAATGAGGGACATGAGGGTCAAAATAAGGGTCATCAGGGTCAAATAAGGGCCATAAAGGTTAGAATAAGGGTCATGAGGGTTTAAATAAGGGTCACTAGGGTCAAAATAAAGTCCATAAGGGTCATGAGGGTCAAATAAAGGTCATAATGGGTAGAATAAGGGTCATAAGGGTCAGTATAAGGATCACGACAATCAGAATAAGGCTCACAAGGGTCAGAATAAGAGTCACGAAGGTCAAAATAAGGGTCAATAAGGGTCATGAGAGTCAGAACAAGGATCACGACAGTCAAAATGACAGTCATAAGGGCCATGAGGGTGACTTAAGGGTCATAAAGGTTAGAATAAGGGTCATGAGGATTTAAATAAGGGTCATAAGGGCCAAAATAAGGATCTGTACCTCTATATTTAAAAAATCCAAATCGACTTCTGGTGATGAAAATCTGCTACTCGAATTTACGACCCCAAAATTAAAGATCAGAAATGAAGGGTCAAAATAAGGATCACGAGGAAAAAAACGAGGGTCAGAATGAGGGTCACAAGGGTTCTGATCATGGATCATGGCAGTAATACGTGAGTTACCTGGGCATTGGCGAGCGGAGCGAGCAGGGGGCGTAGCCCCCCAGTTAAAAAATATTTGTCTTAAAAAATAGCTCTGGAATATTTCAGTCCAACAGATTTATCGAAGAAACCAACAGAATTTGCAATACAATTTCAACACTTTTCCCTCCAAATTTTTCTAAACCAAATGTTTCGTTTTTTTTCTCATTTCTGCAGATCCTCCGGCTAAGGAGCCTGAAGCCATTCGCGAGGCTCGCGAGCCCGTCGCGGATATTCAATATCTGGATAAAGACAGATTGTTTTTTCGACCTCCCGATCATGGGAAAGACGATACCCTCTCGATGGATGAGGATGATATGCATGAGGTGTTACATGGCGAGGTGTCAAATGAAGATAAGGAAAACGATCCACGCGCTGACGCTCGGCAGCCGCAACTCTGGAGCCCCAGAAGAAAATTAACTTCCTATTTTTCATCAGAAAGTGCAGAGCACCGAAGTCCACCTGAACCCACGATTGAGAAGACCTCTGACCCAACATCTGTGGGAACACCTCGGGATCAAAATGAAGACGGCCATTCTCATGCTAGCGAGAGCGTCAGGAAGACTATCGAAGGGGTAGCGAAGAGTCCACCCTGCACGCCCTCTCAGCAGGACTCAGGGGAGCAGGAGCCATCGACTAGTGTCGAGAAAGTTCCTCCTGACGCAGCACCTGAGGAAGAGCTTCAGGAGAGTTCTGCATCATTTATTCGAAGTAAAGGTTCGGGGAGAGGTCGACGTCCTGAAGGAAAGGGATCTTCTGAGGGTGAGGGAGTTCCTACACCAGCTCTCGAGGAAGTTGAGGAAGGGAACGAGGAAGACGAGTTCGATAGATTGAGTTGGGGGGAATCGACTGGGGGACAGGGAGTCGCTGACGAGGGAGGTGGTGCAGCCGCTGAAGAATCAACAGAGGAAGAGACGATTAATGAGGAGCCGCTGTTGCTGGAGCACCTTCGATCCCGACTACAAGAAGGTGAATTAATCGTTTTGTTAGGGAGTGTGTGTTGAAGGGAGCGACAGCACGCATGAAAAAATTCAATCGAAAACCTAGCGAATTCGCTAGAAAATTCTATTGGAATTCTGTAGGGTTTGTATTGGAATTCTATTGAAAAATTCTATTTGTTTTTTGCGTTGATTCTTGATTTCGAATTTCTATTTGCATTTTTCTTCTAAATTTTTTGTGGGAATTCGGTGAAGGGTAGAGGGTTTTGTAACGTCTAACGCTCGGAATGAATGTATATCGAATTAGATTTATTCACAGCAAATGTAACTCTGATTTACACCATGAGAACTGGGACGAGAAAGTGCTCTCGCGACAACGGTATTAATCATCCGATCGAGGATGTCCGAATTAAGCCCAAACACAATGCATTGAAATAATCTGAAATAAATATATAAGTAGCTTCGCTACATTTTTTCTATTAGAATTATTGGGCACAAAATTTTCCACGTTTTTTCCGCGGGATTTTGTTTTGTTCTGCATTACAGAATTCGAGTGCAAAAAACTTGGAAAGTTGATGCCCAAGCATTTTTACAGAAAAAATCTCAAGAGAAAAACTTTAACAGAAATTCTAAATCTATTGACTTTTTCTTATCGAATATCCAATAGAATCAGCGCAAAAAACAAATGGAATTTTTCAATAGAACTCCAATAGAAATCCTGTAGAAACCCCATAGAATTCCTATAGACTTCCAATAGAATTTTCTAGCGAATGAAGTGAAGTTTTAGCGTATAGTGTGAAACTATGCGCTATACTATATGCAACACAAGAGCAATTTCCCACTTGTTTTTTATTTTTCATTTCTCTTCATTGCGTAGGTAAGCGTGAGATTTTTGCTCAGCATCCTGAACATCCTGGGATCCTGGAGAGATCGCTGATCAATCGATGGCCAGTGAGAAGAAGGACCGCTGCAGAAAAAGAAAGAATAAAACGAATCGTCGGGTGCGCCCCCATTGTGAGGCACATTGGATGGCTCACGTATTACAGTAAACTGTTTTGCACTATTAAAAATGTCTTCCTTTCGTTATTCTCATTCTTGAAAAATCATAACTCACTGAAAAAACATCAAATCGCTCCGAAAATTCTACGAGATCTCTGTCTCATACATTCCTTCTTAGAAAAAAATCGCCAAAAGATTGGAAACATGAAACTTCTTTCATTTAGGATTTGGCGTGGAATTGCTCATGTTCTTTTTTGATTTTATCCACAGGGTTCACGGCATATTCTTCGCCCAGTGAGGACGACAGGACGGATGAGGAATCGGTCCATGAGTCATCCCCTCGAAGAGGACGAGACACGGAAAATTCTAGACCTGGAGGAAGAGCTCGCCCAAAGAAGAGGAAAAATGATAGTGGAAATAGTTCCATTGTCAGATCGAAGAAGAGGAGAGCCCCTCGAATATTGGAGTCTTCGGATTATTCTCAAGGGGAAGAGAGTGGATCACCGATCTTGAATCGAAAGGCTGGGAGGCAAAGAGGAAAATCTTCTCGTTCTGATGAGTCGTCTCTTTCTGAAGGAAGAAAAAGGAAACGAGTAATGGAAAAAACATCGGAGACTTCACTGCAAATGAAGAAATTCTCTTCTCGTGCTGTTGACACATCTCTTCTTGAAGGAAGAAAAAGAAGAAGAGTAGATGAGATATCATCAGAGTCTTCTGAAGATTCTGATGGAGAGGAAAGTCGATCATCAGTTCCAAATCAGATGACTCGAAGGAAAATGAGAAAACCTTCTCCTCGTCCTGATGAGTCGTCTCTTCTTGAAGGAAGAAAAAGGAAAAGAGAAATTGAAAAAACATCAGAGACTTCACTGCAAATGAAGAAATTCTCTTCTCGTCCTGTTGACACATCTCTTCCTGAAGGAAGAAAAAGAGGAAGAGTAGCTCTCAGCAGAAAGAAAGAGAAGAGTAGCTAAAAGATTATCAGAGTCTTCTGATGACTCTCATGGCGATGAAAGTCCAATGAACAAATCCTCTTCCTAAAGGGAGAGACGAGTCATCAGGGCGATTTGCCGCACGAAATCTTGAAGAGTCAAGTAGCGACGACCAATCATGAACAGCGTGACTCCACGATAAAGCTCCAGATGATCTCAGTAAATCGCACTCTAGTCATGGAGGGAAAAATAATTGCATTCCACTGTCATGAATTATTATTCAATTAATTTTCATTATTCAGCAGAGGATGATCACTTAACTGCTCTGAAGTGCCAATTTTTATTGTTTTTTCTTTTCAATTGTTTTTTGAGACAATATGAAAATTCTATGCACAGTTCTCAAGTGCAAGAGAAAAAAACACTTATTACATTGAATTAAGGTCAATAGTGTCTCAAATATTCTTCACTATTCAGCAAAGAGTTATCACTCTTTACTTTTTTCTTTTTCTCCGAGAAGATGAAAAAATCAGAAAAATCCTATATTATTTGTTATTCTTAACTGAAAACCTCTCTTTGTACCATTGTATCGTTAATTGATTTTTTATTGTTTTGCAGGGTTTTGTTACTTCAATATATTATATTTAATTTAATATTTATATTATTTTTAAATTTTTTATTTTTTATTGTCTGGTACCATTCCATTTTTCTTTTCTTCTCATAAATCTTTTAAGAAAATAAAAAAAAAATAGAAAAATTGAGCTGAGGAACCTCTATAGAAAATATCTCAATAGAATAAGTTGTATAGAAAAATCGAATTCCATGGACTTTTTCTGCAGAATATTTTCACTCAAACATTCCAATAAAATCACCCAAAAACTCACAGAAATTCAATAGAAATCGAATAAGATTTCTAGCGAATTCCTTCGGTTTTTCTATGAAATGTTTTTAACACGTGATATGAAGGCGAGCAATATTTCCCCTTCTCTTCTGCTGTGCTATCCGCCCATTGGAGTTATTGGAACGATTGGATTGGGACCTATTGACTCAATTGGGGAGTTGAAGAACCGGTCTATTGAAGTTGATTGCTCGATGCAGCAGAAAGTATATGAAAATACTTGACTGCTTCGGACGAGCGTGAGTTTTAGGCGTATAGTGTGTGCACAAGAGGAAATCGAAATGTCAAAGGTGTTACGAGTCCACCTCACCAGCTCGATGTTGTTCCAAAGTACGTAAAGCCATCAGTCTCGACCAGAGCCACTAATTCGTAGTTACTAATAATCTTCAGCAATTGCAACTGCACACTTTCCTTGTTGGTATGAGGTTAGATTTTCATTGAATTCTGTTGTATAGATCGATATCTAAGTCTCCAGCAGATCAACCATATGTGAGTATCGATCAATTTGGGTGGAGGAGCCGATGGGTTTCAATTTCGATTCATTTTTTGCAGATTTAATATGGGATTGTCGAAGAGAGGGCCTCAGGTGGCTCAATGCAGGGGACTGACCTCCATTCAGCTGAATAAACAGGAGCTGCCTAAACAACCTGTTCCTGATCTGCATCAAACTGCTCAAAGATATTTGAGGTAAAACAACATGTATGGAGAATTGAACAGATAATGTAATCTAATCTAATCTCGTTTCGTGGAAGATTCTAATGGTTTTTAAAAATGGAATTCTAATGTTGCTTTATTGAAGCTGTATTTGAAGTTTATTTGAAAATGCAAATAAAAAAATAAATAATAAATATAAAAATATAAGAATAGTATATAATATAATAAATTGTTTATTATATTATATACTGTTGGAAATTTTTGTCTGAATTTTACGTGCCAAATTCAAGGAATTTTTATCGTGTTCCAACTCCACTGAAATTTCAGATTTCACAGAAAATTTAATGCAATTTGACACTGTAGTGTATATTTGACACAGTAGTGTATATATACACCTGTAATAATAAGAATAATAATGATAATAATAATAGTAAAATGTTATAGTTATAAAACTGAAAAATCAATTATTTGAAATAATAAAAATTCTTTTCAGGAAAGTATAATGATAGTTTTTTTTTTTCTGAATGTTCATATTTGATTGGAAATTCAAAGAAATTAAGGAATTGTAGTCTTTATGCCCCTTAAAATTCTAGAATTTTACTCAATTTCCAGTGAAACCTGAAATTTCAGGATTTTTTTCCCTAAATCACATTCAGTGTCACTTTTTTTCTAACAATGTATTTAATTGTTCTGTACAATATTCGGTAGTAATTCTTGGGCATGATTTTTCTAGGTTTTTCTTATTGGATTTTGTAAAAACTAACAGAAAAATAAAAACACTCATCTTTAATCTGTTTCATAAGCGATTGAATAGGTTCATCGAATTGTTATTAATTCAAGAATATTATTTTCAGGTCATTGAAACCATTACTAAACGATCAAGAATACTCGAAGACTGAAAAAATAGTGCAGGATTTTATTAGTGAGTGCGGGCTAGGGCCAAAGTTGCAGAAAAAATTGTTGGAACGATACGAAAAGACTGATAGTTGGGTAAAGTATTTACTTTTCGCAAAGACCAGTAATGAAATGAGAAAATGGATAGAAAGAAGATTGTCAATATCCCTGGGGTTGATATAGTATTGAACTTTTTTCATCCTTTAGATGAATGAGTGGTTCTTGAATGCTGCTTACCTAGGATATCGAGATTCTGTACTCCTCATGTCGAGTCCTGGGACCGTAGGACCGCCTCAAGACTTCAAATCACCTGAAGATGTCCAAAAATTCGCAGCTCAATTAATTGTTGCTGTTTCCACTTACAATAATTTAGTGAAAAAGTAAGACAAAAAATTTGTATTGAACAGACAGAATTTTCAATAGAATTAAAGAATCCCGCAGCTTTGCTCAGAATTTTTTTTAATAGAAAATGTCCAATAGAAACTATTTTATCGAAAAAATCAGTAGAATACCTTTTTATACAATTTTTTCTATTGACATATTTTTTATAGAAATTCCGGGACCTGAATTTTCCGAATTTCTTCCATTATATATATATTTTTTTTCATTAAAAAAATTGACAAAAAAATTTTTTTTAAATTATCAGAGGGATTTCTATGGAAAATATTATAATGGAATAAGTTGTGTAGAAAAATAGAATTTTATTAAACTTCTATTGGAAATTCTATTAGTTTTTGGACGATTCTATCGAAGAATTCCGTAGCTTTACTGCACGTTTTTTAAATAAAAAATGACTAATAGAAACTATTTTATTCAAAAAATCAGCGCAATATCATCTTTTCATACAACTTTTAGAAATATGTCTATAGAAAAAAAAATCTATAGACATTCCTTCGCATGAATTTCCTCAGTTTCTTCCACTCAATTTTTTTCTCCTTTCATTAAAAAAATCTAAAGAAAAACTTCGAAAATTTGAGCCGAGGAAATTCCACAGAAAATATCTCAATTTTTTTTTCAATTTATTGAATATATTAATCCTTCAGGATTATTTACAGCGATAGTTACATGTAATTTGTTGAAAATTTAATACATCATGTCTCTGGTTGTACGCTCTAAATTTGAATTTTACATTTTTGGATGAAGTCGTTGATTATCTTGAGGTGTTCTAACGCACCTATCCTAAAATATCTCAATAGGATACGTTGCACAGAAAAAACGAATTCTATTGCCTTTCCCAGAGAATATTCTCCATTAAACCTTCCAATTGAAAATAAACGCCCAGATTAAATGAATTTTTCAATAGAATCAGCCAAAAACTAATAGAAAGCTCACCAAAAATCCAACAGAATATTCCACAGAACTCTCTAAATTTTTCAATGAACCTTTCCATACATCTCTATATCCTCACAAATTCCAGAGGAGATATCAAGCAAGAGATGGTAGGACCGACCCCGCTGGACATGCAGCCCTACGCGCTGATCCTGGGGACTCACAGAATCCCAGGACTTCCCCTCGACAAGCAATTCCACACCGACGATTCCCGCCACATAATAATCCTCAAGAACCAGAACATTTTCAAATTACCCATAACCGACGATCGTGGGATTCCCCTGACTGAATCGCAACTGACCCCCGCCCTCAAGGACCTCTTCGAGCGCTCCGTCACCCCAGGAATTCCCGTGGGAATTCTCACCGGAAGCCCGAGGGACACCTGGGCGCAGGATTTCGAGGCCCTGAAGGCCATCGGCTGCAACTCAGGACTCATAAAAAATATCGAAGAAGCTCTGTTCATTCTATGTCTGGACAAGGAAATTCCGCGGAACAAATTCGCGGGGAAAAATGATTCGTCTGTGAGGGCTAGACAGGCCCTCACAGGTTTCAGTATTGACACGAATGCAGGAAACAGATGGCACGATAAAACACTGCAGTTTATAGTTTCACCCGATGGATTCGTCGGGACTGAGTACGAGCACAGCCCATGCGAGGGTGGACCCATCGGTGTGATTCAGGATTTTGTCCTTAAATATGTGGACAGCAAGAAAAATTCGGGGCAGGACGAGACCTCTCCATCAACTCGAGATTTTCCAAGACCTCAATTATTAAAGTTCGAGATTAACGAGGGGATCGAGAGGTCCATCGAGGAGGCGACGAGATTTGTCGGTGGAATGTGTGAGAAAATTGACATGGAGTGCTTCACGTTCGATGACTTTGGGAGTGCGGAGATCAAGAAGGTGAAGATGAGTCCGGATAGCTTTATTCAGACTGCCATGCAGGTGACTTTTTTTAGAATGCATGGGAAACCCCCGGCGCATTATGAGTCCGGGGGACTCAGGAGGTTCAGGAACACTAGGACTGAGGCGATTAGATCCACTAGTGTCGAGTCTGTGGGCTTCGCCAAGATTATGGCGATGGGGGGGTCCAAGGGGGAGAAGAGGGAGGCTCTGGGGAGGGCTATCAGTGCGCACAAGAGGATTGCTGGGGAGGTGAGTCCGCCCTCCGGGTTTTTGGAATGAGGGGTGACATTTTTAAGAGTAAATCGGGTTTTAATTGTGATATGCTGTGTTTGACATTTTAGATTGATAGTTTTGGTGAGAGGGTTGGAAGTTTTTGGCAAGCAATATTTCCACTGAAATTTCAGGGAATTTTTTCACAAAATTTATGGGTTCGTGGGAAATTCCGTGGGAACTGCAAATTTTAGATTAATTATTCTGGGAAAAATCAGTTTTCCTTTTAATTTAATTTTTTAGATTTTGTGATTCTGGAAAAATTCATGAAAAATCAGGAAATTTCGTATTGAATTCCAGATTTCTCGGAATTTTTCAGGAATTACGAAAAATTTCTGGAATTCCAAGAATTTTAAAGGATTTCCTTGACAATTCAAGGATATTCAAATGAATAAATAAAGTAAAAATGTCATTTTGAACAACAAAATGTATTCTTGCGATTAAAGTCTTACATCTTGGGCACTTTCCAAATGTTGATTAATTCATTGTACTTTTGGCAAGCAATATTTCCACTGAAATTTCAGAGAATTTTTTCACAAAATTCATGGGCTCGTCGGAAATTCGGTGGGAACTGCGAATTTTAGATTAATTATTCTGGGAAAAATCAGTTTTCCTTTTAATTTAATTTTTTAGATTTTGTGATTCTGGAAAAATTCATGAAAAATCAGGAAATTTCGTATTGAATTCCAGATTCCTCGGAATTTTTAAGGAATTACGAAAGATTTCTGGAATTCCAAGAATTTTAAAGGATTTCGTTGCCAATTCAAGGATATTCAAATGAATAAATAAAGTAAAAATGTCATTTTGAACAACAAAATGTATTCTTGCGATTAAAGTCTTACATCTCTGGGCACTTTCCAAATGTTCAGCACAAAATGTCTGAAACTTCGTAGTCTTCAATGTAGAATAAAAATAATGAATTGATGAATTAATTAATTGTTCGACTGATTCATTCACTGATAAATTAATTCGTCTCGCATTTATTTTAGGCGGTAACGGGAGCTGGCGTTGATCGCCACCTCTTCGGGTTAAAAATGATCGCCAAGGAAGAAAAAATAGAACTCCCAGCTCTCTATTCCGATGTCGGATTCACCAGGAGCTGCCATTGGAATCTGACATCCAGCCAAGTAATCAAACTCTCATTTTTCACTAATTAATAACCACAATTACCGATCGTTATTGTGAATACACGTATACAAAAAATTAGTATAAAAACCTCACGGTTTCTCTAAAAATTCTATTGAAAGATTTTCTTTATTTGTGCGACAATTCTATTAAAAGTTATACAATTAATTAAATATTTTTTTAATATTTTTTAAATATTTTTTAATCAGATATCTCTTGAAAACAAAAAAGATTTTTTAATAGAATTTTTTGTTAGAAATTAAAATGAACTCAACACACGACTTCTTCTTTTTTTTGTTTAAATGATGGAAATATAAACGTTTATTAATTAAAGATAAAGATACAAAACATTTCAATCGAGATCCGATCAATTAGCCCCTCATGTGTAGATATTCCAAATTTTTATTTTTTTCCTCATTGAAGTAGTTTTGAAGAAAATTGCGAGCTAATAAAAAACATTTGCTAGTTAGTACTTTTTTTAAAATAAATTTTTGAAAAATCACCCCTGAAAAAAAAG